GGTAGTGAGGTTGGCCCAGGATCGAACATTGTTTCGTTCTGCTGTGCATGGGGTCGCTATGAGTCGGTTCCGACTCGATGGCACCTGACAACAACAACAAAGAAGCAAGGTGGCTGGATCAAATGCTTGCTCCCTCCCTGCTCTAGGATCCGAAAGGAGGCAACTGTGTTTAGTAAGTTATTTTCTAAATTACGAACCAACAGAGTTCCTTGACAGTTACTCATCTCAGCTGGAAAACAATCCTTCCCAGATTAGATGAAGGAGGTAGACCAACCTTCCTTTAACAGCAACACAAGTAGGCCAAGCCACGACTGTGGGGAGCATCAGGCTTTACTGGTGATTCTCTCTCAAAGCTGCCTTCAGATGGATTTCCTTTCTTGGGGCTTCCCCTTCAGATCTTCACTGCTGTATCCCCACCAAGCACAGTGCTTGGCACTCTGGAGGTGCAAAAGGTATTGCCTCAATCAGCACATTCCCGTCATGGCTGCAATGGGAAGCCACCGGGACCCCGTCAGCTGCCAGCAGTCGCTACAGACCCCCTAGGTGGAGAGGCCCAGTTTGAAGCTGGAAACTGGAGTCAAATCAAGAGGCTGGGAAATTCGCTTCTTAAAACTTATTTTAATATCCTTTCCCCACCCCACCCCACTGTATTGGGAAAGGCCAAAACAGTCTGGCTGGATTTCATTACAAATTAATACATTTTTTTTTTTTTTTGTCATTGTTTAAAGAAAATGAACATTGTGGCAATAAGGGACTATCCTTGGAAAAACTGAAACCCATATTAACAAAATACGTCATGGAAGAACTCCACTCAGTGATTTCACTGGCTACTAAACAGACTAAAAAGGTCAGTGTGCGGCGTGTTCTCAGAGCTTGTCTCCTGTAGCGGGGACAGGCCTGGCCCGGACTCAGCCATGCCCAATCACCAGGCCCAGACCTGGTTACCGCAAAGGGAGAGGGCAGAGCAGGGAGGTCAACAAATGAAGTCCTACAGCTTCACTCACAGGCCCTTGGGATGAAACGGGGCCAGAATTTAGAGGGAAGGCTTAAAGATGCAGCATTTTTTCAGCCTTTGAAAATTAAGAATTTTAAAAACAAAAAATGGACAAAATCATTGAACATGGAGGTAAAACGTATTAAAAGTTAATTATGTGAATGATTTAAACACGATCCCAGCTCCCTCACCTTTTCATGCATTCAGACACCATCATCTCAGCTCTGAGCTCAACCAGGAGCCTCCAACAACAATGCTCTCAGCTGAACGGCAAATTGTTTTTGTTTTAAAAAAGGATGTAAGATTGAGTCTTCAAAAATTCAAGTATCTTTTAAAATTCCATTAGCTTTCTGACACCCCTTTGTATACATAGACACACACACACACACACAAAATAGTGTAGGGAAGTTGGGGGCACCAAGGTCTTTGGGGCTGCCTTCCTCCCACTCAGAATTCCATAATACCCACCCAAGACCTTCTCTCTACTCTGGAAGGTCTTGAATGGGTAGGCCTAATACTGGGGAGAGTGAGGCAGGACAACAAAACAAAACCATGACCAAGTTTATAGGCGGAAGCAACACTAGATAGAGTTCGGAGCTTTTTGTGAGCTCGCTGCTCTTCCCAGCTGCCCTCCCCCAGTCCAGGGAGCTCACAGGCCTGGATGCTGCATCTGTAAATATTTCTGGCTGAGCCCTCTTGCCACATATGTCAGTAACATTCCAAGCTGGCTACCACATGTGCAAGCTCTGGCCTCCTTCCCTCTCTACTGTTGAGTGCTCTGCTGTTTCAAGGGCACGGTGGGGCCATGCGTCTCCCATTTCAGCTTCATCTTCAGTCGATCATGTATCTCAAAAACAACCTTTTTTTTAAGTTCCAAAAGAATGTTCATACTTGGAATACCTATTTCCCTTAAGATCATTTTTTAAAAAAATTCCACTTGATGAATCTATTTCCGTGAGTTAAAGACACACTCACAGATTGAAAGAAGTGGGGGTTGGTGGGCTCTTGTCAAAGATCTAACAGAGGAAAGCTTATGTGCTGATCACATTTTAATACGTGGTTAACAAGACCTGTACACCAGTTAGCAAGCATACAAAGACTGGGTGGGAATGGCTGGTCCCTGGAGCACATGACTCCCCAGCCTGTTTTCTGCCTACCTTTGGACCAGTTTCCATGGCCACTACACTCAGAGAATCCAAAAGGACTGCATGGACAGATGAACCTTTATTTAAAAAAATAGCACTTCAAATAAATTAAAAGGGACAACCGTCAAGTGTTCAAATTATGAAGAAATTGCTGAAAACCTAGAAGACCCTGGGCTGCAGTCTTCTAACCTCAGTCTCTGTCCAATGGCAAAGCCCATACATCTCAGTACTCCCACTCAGTCTCTGTCCCCCAGTGGAGGGAAGCAACTGCAAACTGGAAACCAGACAGAGGAGAAAGCTGCATCTGAATGGAATGAATATTGCCACGTACTTGCTAATACGGGTTTCACTTTATAACCAAGTGTATTCTTTCAAAAATAAAAAAAGGGGGGGGGGGAAGGAAGCTGCATGTCTTTAAAAATTGAAATTATTTAGGGATAAAACACTAACTCTAGTGCCTTTACTGGGCAATAGCAACTTTTTTCCTCCGAAGTCAAACGCCATCCCCAGCTGAGCCTTTGTGCTGCAAGCTTTTCAGGAGATGTTACCTAAACTTTATTAAAAGAAAAGAACAAGTTTAAATATAGACACTGGACTAGCCCAGTCTGTATTTTCAAGTCCACATTCTTCATCTGAAGCACTGCATCAGGGACCCCCCCCCCTGAGTCTGCATGTTTTCAAGTTCACAGTACATGGAACCAGTTTTTCTTTTCAATTTTTCCTCACTCAGAGCAGCCACACACAGTGGCTGTTGACGCCGGAACCTCGGGCGGAGCCTTTTCCTACGAGGCCTGGCCAGAGCTGCCCCAGGTTTCTCCTCAATGAGAATCGATGCTGTCATGCTCTATGGATGGGAAAAAAAGCAAGAAAATAAAAGCACCTGGTACAGGTTTCATGAGATCCATTCGGATTTCGCTATGTTCCAAACCCGCTGCTGAATGCCATTTGTCCACTTTGTGTGTTGAACAGTTTGTGGCCTAGGAGTCAGTCTCAATTCGAAGAACTGTTATTGGATGCCCCAGAAGTTGATGCAATAGCAGCTCCAGCAGGGCTACTAGTGGAGACAGACTTTCGGATGTGAGGCAGCAAGTAGGGGTCACAGGCCAGCTGCTGGACATCGATGCGGTCCTCCTTTCGGTAGGCCAAACATCGTCGAATAAAAGCCTGCAAAGGAAATTTTCTTGAGGAAGCCAGGATGCATGGTGCAGAAAATCCTGCCACACCAAGAGGGCACCCTGAGACTCTGTGGCAGTTCTAGAGCCCCGTGTAAACATCCCCTAAAAAGAAGGGTCCATGTAGAAAATCACCAGGGAGACCCAGAAAAAACAAGGGAAGGAGACAGCCTGGCAGCAGCACCTCTCTACTGCCGCTGACTCCTTCCCCCAACAGGGCTGAGCCATTCCTGACACAGAGAAGGGGCACGGCCTCAATAGACCTCTGCCCTCAAAGCACTAAGACCAATAAATATCTCTCTCCCTGCTTGAATGGGCATAGTCTAACTTCATCTGTAAGACAAGGTCTCATGTGAACTTTCTGAGGAAGAAGAAAATTCTACTACTATTTTGACTAACACTACAATGTGTCACAAACTGTTAAATGCTTTCTCTGTGTACTGTGTTTTTATGCAAATAATACACATACTACATTTCCTTTTTTTTTTTTTTAACAGTGTGATTCCACACATTAATTTCCCATGCAGAAAATACAGTAAGTAACTCCTCTCCCCTAGGAGGCCAAAAAGCAAATAGATGTGATTATATACCCATCTACTTAGTGAAGGGAAACTTGAATAACTGCATCCCCAAGACTACTGTATACTGTGGGAGGGGTTTGAGATAGAATCCAAATTTACTGTCAACATGGAGGTTTCTTTCCTTGTAGAGGTTCTGCAGTTGATAAAGGTCTCAAAATAGATGATCTGTGCTTTCCTGCTTGCCACCTCCTTCTTATTTTTCACCCAGAGTGTTCTAGTATATCAAAGTTTTGTATTATAACCATCATAAATAATTATATAGTGGTCAATTAAACTCCCTTTATCTTGAATTTTCTCTCTACACAGTCACCAATGTGGGCTATTGAAACAGCAATCAGATCACATTGTTGCCCTGACAAAATCTTCAATGGTTTTCCATTCTATTTTATAATCAGCCCTACACAGTTCACCTCACACCTGAGTTCTACTCACAAGGTTCTTCCCCCAAATCTATACATGACTCCCACCCTCATTCAGGATTCTGTTTAAAGTATCACTTCATCACTGAGGTCTGTATTCACCACGCCATTTAAGAGAGGTTCTCACACCTCCCTACCAACTCTTGATTTACTTTATTCATAACATTCATCACCATCTGAAATGTAGCTGCCTTTTTCTTTTTCCCCCCTTAAATTATTTCTCTCACTTAGTGGAATTAAGATTCTTAATAGGCTTTCAATACGTATTTGTTGCTGGAAGAAGAAAGAAAAAGGACAGCGGACTGGAGAAATGCACATTTAAATGACGATGAAAGACTGTAGAGAATTAGATCCATCTAATTTAGGAACATTTTTTCACCTATTTATTGAATAAGCACCAAAATTTAACCAAAGTGGCAAGAAAAAATGCCTGCCATGCCCCCACTCAAGCCTCACAGTGTTGACTTGCTGGGAGCTGCATCATGGGAGGTATCAAGTGTTGGGCACTGTTCCACAGGAACCAGGGTTACACAGGAGAAAGATGAGGCTTTCTGCTCCCGTAAAGATTCACAGTCTTGGAAACTCTATCTGGGTCACTATGAGGCTGAATCCACTGAATGGTAGTAGGTAAACTGTGAGAGAATCAACTTGTTTGTTTCTGCGGTTATTTCTGTTATAGCAGCACTAGATAACAAAGACAGGCACTACATGGATTACGGAAACCTCACAACCATTTAAACCTCACATTTTACAGATGAGGAAAAGCACTTCAAAATTTTTAATACATTTTCTTAGTTACGCAGTGTTTACAACACTGTGGAGTGGTAGGGGCAGGAAGTCACCAGGCAGGAATCACAGGCACTTTGAAAAGTGGTTCTTTCCTAACCGACTTCATATGGACACACTTGGAGGGGACAACAGGGGCCAAACATGGAGAAAAGGACTTAGAGTTCTGCAACTGTTTACATGGACTTAGAATCTTGGTTTGCACCTGTACCAAGGCTGACGTGATTACTTATACTTTCCTTTCTTCACTTCCCACTCCATGTTTCCTTTGCCTTAGTTAGTTTTTCTGGAATGTCCTCACCAACTGCTATGACCACTCACTTGCTATTTAATTCTAGAGTGACTTCTTCTCTAGTCCAGGGGTGGGGAACATCCAGCCCAAGAAATCATTTGGTTTGGCCCTGTCAAGGCAACTGCAATTCTAGCAAGCATATTTGCTGTTGTTAAGTGTCACTGAGCCGGTTCCGACCCATAATGACCCCGTACAGGGTTTCCGAGAAGCAGGTGGTGAGGACAACCTTGTGGTCGAGTGCTTATCCTACAGTGCCACACCAGGACAACCATCGTATTAGTGGTGCTTATGTGTCGTGGAGCTGGTTCGGACTCATAGTGACCCTGCATAGGGTTTCCAAGACTGTAAATCTTTGTGGGAGCAGAAAGCCTCATCCTGTGGAACTGCTGGTCGTTTCGAACTGCTGACCTTGAGGTTAACAAGCCCGATTCATAACCACTACACTACTAGAACGCCTTAACATTATATTACTGTGTTGTTAAAAGTGCCATCAAGTCGGTTCCAATCCATAGCAACTCTGTATAGGGTTTCTGAGGAGTAGCTGGTGAGCTTGAACCACCAACCTTGTGGTTCAATCCAACTTTGCAGTGCAGGGTATTAACCCACAGCCCCACACCCAGACTCCACCATTATATTGTTGTTAAGTGCCGTGGAGTCGGTTCCGACTCATAGTGACCCTGTACAGCGTTTCCGAGGCTATAAATCTTTACGGGAACAGAACGTCTCATCTTTCTCCCACAGAACAGCTGATAGTTTCAAACTGCTGAACCTGAGGTTCACAGTCCGATTTGTAACCACTACGCTACCAGAGCTCCTTAACCATTATATTGTTGTTGTGAAGTGCCGTCAAGTCGGTTCCGACCCATAGTGAACCCGTATAGGGTTTCCGAGGAGCAGCTGGTAAGCTTGAACTGCCGACCTTGCAATTCAAACAGCTTTGCAGTCTGGCGCATTTACTCACAGTGCCAAATCAGGACTCCAACCATTATATTAGGAGTAAGTTAATTAAATATTTGACCCAATATAGCAGGCTAATTCTTAAGTTGATAACGTTGTATGGCCTGCAAATGATGCATTTAAAAAACCCACCCATAGATATTTCCAATACTAGATTTGGGGGATAGAGTGAGAAGGGAATGGTGTTGTCTGTAGGAATATTAATCCATTCTTCTGGTGTGGCAATGTGGGTTAATACGCCAGACTGCAAAGCTGTTTGAACTGCAAGATCAGTGGTTCAAACTCACCAGCTGCTCCTCAGAAACCCTATACAGGGTCGCTATGGGTTGGACTGACTCGATGACACTTTAACAACAACACAAACGCTACGATGACTCCTAAATTTATACCAAATAGTCACACCAGAGTTTCTCAAAGAAATAAAGAAAAACTTACCTTTGCTTCAGGTGTTACTACTGGCTTTGGCGGGAACTGCACTTCAGTAGCTTTGAGAATAGTATTTTCTTGTAAAATGTCTTGCTGGGACTGGTTATGGCCAAAAGGCTAGCATATGAAAACAAATAAACACAGGTAGGTCTCTGGTTAAATGAAACAGAACACCACTCAAAACCACAAGGGAGGGAAAGGAAAAAAGGTTTTCCAGTGAGAACAATTGGAAGAAACTCTAGAAATGATTTTTAACCCTCTCACTTTATAAGCAAAGGAAGAAAAGACGCAGAGCTTAAGTAACTTGCTCATAGTCCAACACCTACGTCCAGGTAGAGTTGGGCTCATGAGCAGCAGCTCTTATAACATCACTGCTAAGTTTAGACGATAGCAAAGAAATAAGTGTTCAGAGCAAAACCCAGCAACTCTTTTATCATCAGTGGTCCCTTTGAACTTAAGCAGCACATAAGTGTACCATACGCAGACATAAAGACACAGCTCAAAAGAGACAAAAAAATAAAGAGAAGAATGGGTAAACCAAAATCAAACCCACAGCACCAAGTTCACTCCCACTCAAAGCAACGCTGTAGGACAACTCCCACAAGGCTTTCCAAGGCTGTCATCTTTACGGAAGTAGATTGCTAGATCTTTCTCCAGTGGAGTGGCTGGTGGGTTTAAATGGCTGACCTTTTGTGGTTGGCAGCTGAGTGACTTAACAACTGTGCTATCAGTGCTCCTTAAAATCGATAAAAGAAGAGGAAAAACATAGTTGAGGGTAAGTGGCTTCACCTATACCCCAAGATGCCACTTTCAAATACAATCTTAAAAATAAATTTAAAAAAATAAATAAATTCAAGCTTAGAGTATCTTTACAGTGTTGCTAGTGAGACATCTCACATAATTCTTGGTAGATAACTCCCAGTCAGCAGCAGCAGTCCTTCAACTTCATCAGAGAGCATACACATAATTAAATTGGGCTGTGAACCTGAAGGTCAGCAGTTTGAAACTACCAGCTGTTCCGTGGGAGAAAGATGAGGCTTGCTACTCCCATAAAGATTTACAGCCTCAGAAACCCTGTACAGGGTCGCTATGTGTTGTTATCGACTCCACAGCATATAATCACCAGCAACAACCAGTTCTGAAGAGGAGTCCTGGTATGGCACTGTGGACTAATGGGTTGGACTGCAAGGTCTGTTTGAACTGCAAGGTCAGTAGTTCAAGCTCATCAGTCACTCCTCAGAAACTCTATAGAAGGTCTCTATAAGACAGAACAGACTCAATGGCACTTAACAACAACAGTTCTGAAGAGGTGCGCCTCATTTTAGAGTGGTGGTTTGGGTAAAGAAGAAAAGAACAAAGGAAAGTGAAAGAGAAAGCTAAAACCTGAATTAAGAACTAGGTCTGAGGATTGGGAAAAAATATTAGGACTCCAGGGAATTGTAGAACTCCCAGCCCAATGGGGAGCACTGAAGATACCAACACACTGAAAGCAGAACTACGGATATAATTATACAACTGGATTCCTATACATACATGTATAAGATACTATGCCCAGAAGGAAAGACAAATGTGAAAATCCGTTAGCTGTAGTTTATTACTTGCTCAAATGGTATGACACCTTGGATCAGAAGTTAAGATGAATACTTTCTGACATCAACTCCCCAGTATAGCACACTTTCTTAAGTAGTAGCTTTAAGTAGCATGGTGCCTGGGAATAAGGAGCTCTGGCAATATTAAAGTTTCAGTTCCTAGAATCTTAAGAATGGCTCTGGGGATGATGACATACTTTAATAAAAGTATTTCACATACGTTTCTATACATATCAGTATCAAAACATGTTCTGGATCTCATGGAGAACAGTAAAAAATACATGCTCCCAATAGTCTAGTAGAATGGACCATGTACCCTGTGGCCAAAAATTTCTCCCTTCTGCATAAAGCTTTTATTATTAAATCTATATTTTCTTTGAACTACCACTTTCAGTATTCTGTTCTGTCTAACCCGATACTTAATTCCAAGGAGGTAAGGCCTACTGAGCCTCTGTGTACCTGTGCCACCCAAGGACAATGTCTAGCCACTACATGACACCTTCTTGCTTACCTTCCTTCCATAAAGACACTGATAGAAGATCACACCCACTGACCAGACGTCAACTTTATTTGAGATCTTTGGTGGTTCTTTCCCAACCACAAAACACTCTGGCGGTAAATACCTGGGACAAAGAGGAAAGAAAATTCTTAGAAAAAATGATCGGGCAAATATAAGACATACACAATAAAAAGGCAAGGTAGACGATCTTGTTGGAAATAAGAATGTGAACATTTAATCAGCCAACAAATCAGCTTAGGCTTGGCTGGAAAAATCAATGAAAACACACTAAAACTTAGGGTGGTCGTAATGTCCTATAGGGTCTTAAAACACATTTTTTCAATTTACTAAGAGAAATACTTTCCCCTGTCTCTTCACCCACCCAACTTCCCTTCCCAGGGTTGAGCAGCATTTAAGTGCCATTAACTAAATTAGGATGGGGGTGGGTACAAAAGAAGTGCAGGGCGCTTTTACAATACCTCAGCTGACCAGCATTTACTCTAACTACATATGGCGTGGGCTTTCTTTCATGGTGACTAAAGGAGCCGTCTCTAACTTAAGTAACCATTTTAAAAATCCAACTGAATTTATGACCCAGTGGAGTCCTGGTGTGGTGCCCTGGGTTAATGCGCCAGACTGCAAAGCTGTTTGAACTGCAAGGTTGGCGGTTCAAGCTCACCAGCTGCTCCTCAGAAACCCTATACAGGGTCGCTATGGGTCGGAACTGACTCGACGGCACTTAACAATAAATAGGTACCTGAAAGGACCTCTGGTAGCATGGTGGTTATGCGTTGGGCTGTTAACCTCAAGGTCAGTAGTTTGAAACTACCAGCTGCTCTGTAGAAGAAGGATGGGGCTTTCTGCAACCATAAAGATTTACAGCCTCGGAAACCTTATGCAGGGTTACTAAGGAGTCGGAACCGACTCCATGGCATATAACTATGAGGGGAGGAGCCTCTTGGGGAAATGAGGGCAAAAAATAACTCCCATATCTAGTCAATGGTGGCATTACAACCCAAATTATCACAGAGTAGTTTACATTTTCTACTTTATGGATGCTTAGGGACCTAATGAAAGACTAACAAATAATTCTGCATAAACCAACCAAGCTAGTTGTTAGCACAACTCAATCCTCATCTGAATTCCTCCCTCTCTGCCATTGACCTCTAAAGAGACTAGCTATAGCCGGACAATCAACCACACCAAATTGTATGGGTGGAGAAGGTAAGGGCCTCTGGGTATTTAAGAAATCAAACAAATACACTTCCATTCATTGGCTAGGACCTTAGTCAGGCACAGCTGGAACGCACAGTCTGAGGAGAACGGAACCATTTCTGTAGATTTCATGTTGGCAAAATCCATCCTGTGCAAAATTCTTTATTTTGCAACCTGCTGTGCTCCTGGTATAAAAATCTAAAATTTACTAGCTTGAAGGGGACTATTAACAGGTGAGAGATAGAAAATGTTCCCACTTCAATAATCCAATACCTCTATCCCAGTTAGTTTCCCAAGATTTGTTGGTGTTGTTATGTGCTACGGAGCTGGTTCCGACTCATAGCGACCCTGGTACGGGGTTTCCCAGGCTGTAAATCTTTACGGGAAGAGAAAAGCCTCATCTTTCTCCTGCATAAGAGCTGACAGTTTCGAAATGCTGACCCTGAGGTTAGCAGCTCGATTCATATCCACTACGTTACCAGAGCTCCTTTTCACATACTGATAGACTCTCTTACTTTTAAAAGTAGTTTTATAGTCTCATTTCTTATTATTTTAAGCTCATCTTTTAGATGATCAATATCTCTGACTAGATTTTCTTTCTCATAATTTTCTCACAAAACACACATTGAAGAATAAGAATTTAGATGTACAAACAAGAGGGACAAAAGGCAAAGAAATGAAAATGTAAGAATTTATAAAAATAATAGTTCTTCCCACCAAATGTCATGAAAACCTCCCTGAACTCTGAAGTGCATGGTTCTTTATTTCTAAATATCCATAAATATGATCTTGGATAAATAACAAATGTAACCTTTATTCAAAATTAATCAATTTAATGCATTTAGCATTTCATGGAAGTGGGAGGGAAGAGCAGTTATAGTAAATCAGACTACAAAAGATAGGGTCGCTTTGGTAGCACAAGTCTAGAAAAACACTTTCTAGATGTTTTCTCATCTGTAAATGAGGAGCTGAATTAGTTCTTCACTCAAGTACTACTAAGATTAACAAGCATTTAAACTCTCGATCGAGAACTCTGAGAAGAAGAGGAAGACGACAGCTCTGTGGTACAACAATTCTGTGAAAAGATAAACATGGCTGCATATTTCAACACAATCAAAGTCCTTGCACAGGAAAAGAATTCTCACGGCCTAGTCGAAGAGCACCATAGAATTCTGGAGCAACCAAATAACTGCCAACAGGCACTTTGCATTTATCCTATGCTCCCAAACTAGCGAATCTCTGTGGGTCATCATAAGAGAATGGGGATGGTGCCAATGTTTCTACTCTTCTAATCTTAACAGATACCCATAACATTTAATTTTCTCAGTAGCTTCCTCTCTACCTTACCTTTCAGTATGAAAAATTTCAAATGTTATGGAAAGTACAGTAAACTAAACCCCCAAGTAAACATCCTCTGGCTTTAATGATTACCATCAAACAGCCAATCTTTGTTCCTTTGTTCATCTACACTCCTATCCATCTCCCGAAACGGGCAACTGAAGCAAATCTCAGACAGATAGGATTTTTATCCAAGTTCCAACCAAGAAATTTTGTAGCTTAGCTAATAGCAATAGGTAACAATGAGAAAACTAAATGTGAAACAACTGCATACACCCCTTAAAAAAAAAAAAAAAATCAAGCTATATATATATATATATGAAAGGCTCAAATCTGCAGTCTAATAGATTTATACAGCAGCGGCACAGAACTGCTTCTAGCATTTCCAAATGCAGACATTTTTACATCATCTAACTAGTGACAGGAACACCAACCACAATACCCACCACAGTGAATAAACACACTGTAAATGTAGCTTCTATTTTAAACCTAGAATGCGGAAGTTTTAATTTAGGGCTGATTCTTACTATAGGTGCTACCTTTATGAAGAGTTAAGAAGTCATGGAAATAGGAATTTGTGTTCATGGTATTGTTAGCAGGATTCAGATGAGGAAAAGAGGGCTGGTTCTGCATTTGTGAAGGGAAGCCCCCTCATCCTTTCTGCTTCCTCACTTCCAGGCAGTATTCTTCTAAGGCCACAGCCAGCCAGTCCCCAAGAGAAGTGATTTGATAACTGACGTGGAGTCATAGCTTGTGTTACCCCTTTTCTCAGTGTTAGCGAGGCTTTCTCCAGCTTCAGAACCATATATTCCAGTATGGGTGTTTAAATTACTGGATCTTTCCACTTCTGAAGTAAAAAAGAAGCTATGTTAACACTCTTTTAAAGCAACAGCAAGGTTAAGATGCCGAGTTTCAGCTGTATTGTATGATTCTGTCAAAGGCAACAGTAGGCAGATGTAGAAGAGCTCACAGAAGACGCAGGCAGCAGGAGCTGTAGTCTGGGAGAAGACTTGTGCCTCAAAACTTTTCAGATCATGGCTCCCAGAAATGGATGTCTTTGGTAAACTCAATTTTTCCTGTCTCGACTTCATGTGATGCGCTGGTTATTTTGCATACTGATCTTCATGGATTCTTGGTTCTTGAGAGTCTATCACCCTCAGGAAACTTATCCCATCGGCCCCTAACAAGAGATAACCTAGATCTGCACTGCAAAGATCTCAGGGCTCCGCGTTGTGTCACGTACCACGTGAACAATCTCAGGAGAGGTCAGCAAATTGAAAATACGAACTGATGAAAACTGCTCAAAAGATAGTTACGATTTGGGGAGGAAAGTCTGCTTTGGGGTTTGTAGCATTTTTGCCTTAGCAGTCAATGTGCAAAAAATGAATGATTAATTACCAATGCTTCAGCACAACAGAGCAGCACAACTCCACCAATCAATGTCCTGGGAACCTACCAGTAAGTACCGGCACCTTGTGACGTTAGCTCCATGCCGTCCACTGAATTGTAGCTATCATCATCCATGATCTTGGAAAGACCAAAATCTGTGATTTTAATCTCTCCACACGCTGTACCATTTACTAAAAGAATATTACCTAGAATGAAGGGGGGGAGGGGAAAACTTCATGAATAAGCAAAGATTTACTGATTTAGCAAAAAATTCAAAGTAATAATAGACAAGGGGGCAACTGATTTCAAACTCTTACACACAAATGTCAATATCTGAGTCCCTTGAATAAAGTGACTTGGACTCATGATGCTACGGAGTCCTCAGTGTCTGGCTACAGACTTCTGTTTTCCAAGAATCACCTGGTAAATGTGCCAAAATCACTACTATGAGCCCTGGGAGGGACAAAACGCTAAAGTAAATAGCACTTGTAAAGTTGGTCAAAATGGTGGGAAATTTTCAGCTGCATTTTCTGTAAGGATCTCTAAAATACGATGTTTAGAAGATTAGTTTCAGGAAAAAAAACAAAAGCATACAGGGGAGTCCAAGCTAGTCCCACAGCGCCACCTACAGCTCCTGTAGCAGGAAAGCATGTGTAACAAGTGTGAGGGGAAACCCATCTGTAAAAAATCAGTCACCATTAATTTTTCAGTCATCTGAATTCTATCAGAACACTAAAAAATACAGAGATTTAATATGTAGAGACCAAAAAAGGGAAGGTAACAACAATAGCGCACCAATAGTTCAATAGGAATCATTTTTCTATTACCCAAGTGAACTGAATTAGGGCTGTCTAGGCACTGTAGGATAAGCACTGGACTGCAACGTCAGGAACAACAAGGTCAGTGGTTCAAATTCATCAGCTGCTCCTTGGAAATACTATATACGGGGGTGCTAAAAGTCGGAACCAACTTGGCATTTTACAACACCCAGAACATAAAAACCTCTACAAAGAGACAGCTGTGGATAACCAAAAAAAAAAAGGAAAAAGGAAGGATAACAAGCAAACAAGAGGAGAGAAGTCGATGGGATCCCCATGATGACCACCCTCTACTCTCTGCTGTGACAGTAAGATGGTAAGTGTACAAAACAATTAAAAACTCTATTCAAAAGAGAATGAAATGCAAAATGTTTGCAAAATAAGCTGTTGAACTTCTGGGCACTTATCAAAGAGACATCGAGTAGAGAAAATGCTACACGTTGTGACCAATGAGGAAAACCACACCGAACTTGCCAGAGCAGGTCTTAGTCAGTCTGACATCAGACACTCCTGGCTCTAAAGTCGAGGACACTGTTCCTCCACAGTCTTCAGGACCCACTGCCTGGTGGTTTTGATTCCCATTGCTGCTGCCCACATGATCTGAAGTAACTAGGCTTTCTTGGCTCCTGCCAAATCCTCTAACTTTATAAATTAAGTGTTACTCAGAAGAGCAGAACCAAGTCACCAAGCCTGACTCCTCAAAATTAGACTCACCTGGTTTGAGGTCATAGTGTATGATGGGAGGTTTTATTTCATTTAAGTATTTTAAAGCATTCACAATCTGCATGATAATGGACCGGGCCTCTTTCTCCGACATTAATTTGTGCTGTTTCAGGTAGAAGTCCAAGTCATTTCCCTCACAGTACTCTAATACTGTACAAAACCTAAAGATAAAGAGACCAGCATTAAATCATGGGTTAAGAGTAAGTATTCTAAGACTATCTAGACCACTTCCAGTGAAAACTTCAGGGTAATATTAGCTTCTTACTTCCTTCTTTGGTTTATAAGAACATGGACAAGACTAGACAAATGGAAGGTCTCCTTCCCACCCCATGTTACACATTCATTTCTGAATTGTGATTGTGCACACAATTTTCATTGCAAACATCAGATTATATCAGTACTGGCTGTGAGGAAGAACCTAGGGTTTACTTGGAGCAAGTTACAAACCAAGTCTCCCCGAATTTTGACATAATATGGCACCACAATGTCTCCTCACAAAACAGAAGGTGTAACGGATTCATTAAGCTAAATGCAGTGCTACATTGTACCGGTTCTTTTTCCTTTTCCTTCACGCACGTCAAGACATTATACAGACTCAAATTTACACATACATATGATTTGTGGCACTAAGAGTCATGTGCCTAGTTTCCAAGGCTGAATATCCCCCAAAAGAGAAACAACTTTTAAACTCTTCTAAGTTGTGACGATGTGGGGTGTCTAGCCATCAGAGTCTAGCCTGGAAATAGGAACTTCAATATTTTAATTCAGAGTGGCTTTAATTCATGGCGTTGATCACATACACATGACAGAGACGAAATGGCCAGTGACTCATCCCAGAGATGGGCTACAGTGGGAAGCCATTAGCACCTTAAGGCCAGAAGAACAGGAGGAGGAAATGGTGCAATCAGAACCCAGGATCACCAGGGAAAACATAAACCACAGTAGTGGGGGAGGGGAGGTGGAGCAGGGGAACCTTGGCATCTCTTCCCCATCACCCGGTTCTAATCTTCACTTCTCACTGGTTGAACACCTAGGTAGATCCCAACTGATCCAGGAGCCAGAAACGCAAAGCATACAAAGGTCGGCCCTAAGATGCAGAGCAGAGCAAGGACAAGGATCAACTTGAGAGTGAATGAGTTCAGGGCAAGCACTATGGACTTCTGGGCATTTTGAGGCCTAAAAACAGCACTGGAGGTGTGCCGTCCTGTGACATTCCCAAACTGAACAATAGCTTATGCTTCTTATGAAACATAGCAGGTATTCTAGGATCCCATTTGAGAGTTTATGTATCATCAGATCTGAAGGCTACAATCAGACAACACACAGATGCTCAGGGTTTGGTACTATGACCCAAATGAAAGATAGAAATGAAGTCCGACTTTCAACACCCAAACAACCCTCAGAGGACTTTCTAAAGTGATGGCTTACCTTATTTTTGATGAAAATTCATCATACACTCAACAGAAAGAACAAAATAAACAACTCAAGAATAGCATAGAATCAACTCAATGTTTCACATTAGTTAAAAGATATGTATACATAATTCAAAATGGAAGATAATCCAAATCATTACATATATCATTGAAATAACTTTTACACTTTCATGTGTGTGGGGACGGTCTATCTGGTATACAAGAAATTTACCCAATGGAACAAGTGAAGTCCCCTGTGAAGAGCTATCCTGGAACTAGGAAGCCTCCAGTATTGCCACCCTGCCCTCTAATCAGGTACCTTTCTGAACCCCCTACTCCATGCTAAAACCACAGGGCTATGCTTGGTGCAAGTGCTATCCTATTGAGAAGACGAAAGAGGAGACAATCAATGTTTCTAGAGGGAAACATGGTCTCCCCTTTGGAGTCATCTCTGAATGTGAGCCAATTTCTTTGCACAGTATTCTCTGAGACAACTGCTGGCAGGAATAAGCCAAAGCTCCTAGAATCACCCAGTGGGGAAGAGGTGTTAAGGGAACAACTGTAGCTAGACCTAAGATATACTTTTCTGACTCAATACAGACTCCTACAGAGAAAACATTTCCAAATACTGAAATATTTCTAAATTCCTTTATAAATCCAGAGGCTCTGAGGTTTGCTGGATACCAGGTGACAAAATGCAACAATAGCCAAGGTATGAATTATCCAATCACTTCATTTCTCTGGTTCTCAAATCTCCACATATAAAATGAGAAGGCTAGACTCTGAGAGTCCTACCAATTCTAAGATCCTTTGGGACTATGCCTTCACTTGTGCCACATTCATGACCTGTTCTGGGTTAGGGTAGAATCACACTGCTGAAACTTCAAAATAAGTAGACCTATTAAAGAGATCATCAGTTTCTAGAGTGGGGAGGGACCCCAACAATACACACTCACTGGTGCAGGTCAGAGGTATCATTTGTACCAGTGCACAAGAGCAAATTGTTAAATCTTCAGAAACTTTGTGAGCTGGTTATTAAATTGTTGGTAGGACAAATGGATAAACAAAATGAGCAATATACGAGAAGGTGGATAAGCCATGAAAACATTATGCTAAATGAACAAAACCAGTCACAAAAGTCCAGATACTATAGAATCCCGTTCATAGGGAAATCCAGAGACAGATAGTAGATTAGTGACTACTTAGAGCTGGGGGACTAGGGAGCTGGAGAGCTAAGGAGAAGATGGCTAAAGGGCACCAGCTTCTTTCCTGACTGTGGTGATGTAATGGTTGCACTTACCTGTGAATATACTAAAGGTCATTAACTGTACACTTTAAAGGACTGAAACTTAAGGTATAAAAATTAACTCTATAATATAGCTATTTTTTTTTTAAATTTGGTAACTCAAAATTGATTATGGTAGGAAATACCATGGAAATTGGCAAACACTATAAATAAGTTGCACTCTATTCTACCAAATCAATTGTTAAACATTTGTCAACACACTACCACACATTCATTTGGCCAAGAGATGTTCTGTTGGCCCAAATTGGAATTCACATATGGCAGTAAAAAGCTTGCTTTTCTAAAGTTTGTTTTACACCACTTCGCTTTTACATACAGAAGACCTACATTAGTACTTGCTTTCAATAGCAGAGAGGATTTTCACTTTTATGAAAAAAATGTGACAAGTCAAACTAGTGTTCCGTGTTTGTTTTGCAGTGAACCCGTACAGAGGCAACACTCACTCTGAGCATCGAGAGCACCCTTTCCCAGCAAAGACAGTATTAAGTTGCTGTAGCTGTGAATGAACAGCGTCAAACGCTGTATGTTTGTTCTATTTCAGATTTTATGTGCTATTTGGTATGATTTGACAAGTCATGTTTGGGGTCCAGAAATGCTCAAAACCTTTTCCCATTAAAATTAACGGTAATTGCTTCTTCGTTTTACTCCATTTTGGCTTATGGTAGAACACTCTATACTTTCAGATGGGACGGGGGAACTATATTAATATAATTGGTTCCCTCAGGGGAGTTCCTGGGCCAAGTTTTCAGTTCTAGTCCATGAACAATCAATACATTGCAAGAAACTAAAAAGAGCTACGAAGTTAAGAGGGCAGAAACACTTACGAGTCAGTGTCCAGTGAAAAGTAATCATACAGCTTCACTATTCGGGGATGATCCAGTTCTTTGTGGATCCGGTATTCCCTACACGCGTGCCTGAAAGTGAAAAGGGAAAGTTAACAAGAAGGCATCCTGGCCTGACTTTTAACCTCTTTAAGGATGTCCCTAAATGTCCTCTCACTTCTTTACTGTGTCCACCCACTTACTCCAGTTGTTGTTTTTAAGTACCGTGGAGTCGGTTCCGACTCATAGTGACCCTGTACAGGGTTTCGGAGGCTGCAAATCTTTATGGAAGCAGAAAGCCTCATCTTTCTCGCACGGAACAGCTGGTAGTTTCTTCTAACTGCCAACCTTGAGGTTAGCAGTCCGATTCTTAACCACTGCGCTACTTGCTTCAGTTAGGCCCATCATATTCTCTTCTAGTGTTGACAAGGCCTTTGAAAAACAACAGGTGCTCACACATTTGCTGAAAGAATGGATGCCAACCTTTTACCTCTTTGAAGGTCATTTTATGACCTCGCCTCTTTCATACTTTTACCACCCAAACATCAGGGATTTCTGAATGACAAAAGAAAGCCCCCTCTCCTCTCATTCAGTGCTAATGTTTTATATTTGTAAATGTTTAAAAGTTGAATTCACATCAAGGGAATCAATTTTATCAAGCAAACTCCTTGGGTAAAATGCAAACAAGGTAGGCAGTTCAAACCCACCAGCTGCTCCTTGGACAGCCTACATAATAAGGTCACTGCATTGGAACCAAATATACAGGACTAATAATAAAAACAGTCTAAGTCTGGTAGTTGTGATTTGATATTTATGTCTTTAAATCCCACTTTCTTACAAAAAGGATTTGAAGGTGATGTTGTTGATGTTACTGTTAGGTGCCATTGGACTCACAGCAACTCTGTGCACAAAAGAAGAAAACCGTGCCCGGTCCTGCAGCCACTTCATAATCCTTACCACGTTTGAGCTCACTGCTGCTGCCACTGTGCCACTCCATCTTGTTGGGGTTCTTCCTCTTTTTCGCTTACTTTACAAAAAAGCATGGTTTCCTTCTCCAAGGACTGGTCCCTCCTGATAATATATCTAAGTATGAGAGACTAAATCTGGCCATCCTAACTTCTAAAGAGTATTCTGACTGTACTTTTTCCAACACAGACTGATTTGTTTGTTCTTTGGGAAGTGTATGGTACTTTTAATATTCTCCTACACCACCATAACTCAAATGCATCAATTCTTCTATGGTCTTCCTTATTCACTGCCCAAATTTAACATGCATATGAGGCTACTGACAATACCAGGGCATGAGTCTGGTGCACCTTAGTCCTTTAACTGACGTCTTTGTTCTTCAACACTTTACAGAGATCTTGTGCTGCAGATTTATGTAATACAATATGTTGTTTGATTTCTTAATTGCTGCTTCTGTGAGTGTTGATGGTTGGTCTGAGCAAAATGAAGTCTTTGGCAACTGCAATCTTTTTCCATTTATCTTGATGTTATTTACTGGTCCAACTATAAGGATTTTTGTTTTCTTTACATTGCAGTGCAACCTACATCAAAGGCTGTGGTGGTCTTTGATCTTATTATTTTAAGTACTCTTCGTTTTCAACATACAAGGTTGTAATATCTACATATTGCGGATTGTTAATCTTGATGCCACATTTTTCATGTAATTCAGCTTCTTGAATTACGTGCTCAGCATACAAACTGAAATAAGTATGAGCAAAGAATAAACCCTGGCGCACACTTTTCCTAAGTTTAAGCCATTCAGTGTTCGACTACTGCCTCTTGGTCTATGTAGAGGTTCCTCGTGAGCACAATCAAGTGTTCTGGAATACTCATTCTCCGCAATGTTGTCTATCGCTCGTCATGATCTACACAATCAAAAGCCTTTGCACAGTCAATAAAGCACAACATCTTTCTGGTATTCTTTGCTTTCAGCCAAGATCCATCTGACATCAGTAATGATATTCGTCATTCCACGTCCTCTACTGAACCTGGCTTGAACCTCTGGCACTTCCCTGTCAATGTGCTGTTGCAGCCATTTTCGAATAATCTTTAATAAAATTTTACTTGCATTTGATATTAATGATATTGTTCAATGATTTCCGCATTCTGTTGGGCCACCTCTCTTTGGAATGGGCACAAATGTGGATCTCTTACAATTAGTGGGTCATGTGGCTGTCTTTCAAACTGTTTGGCATAAATGAGTGAGTGCCTCCAGTGCTGCTTCAGTTTGTTAAAAGATTTCAATTTGTATTCAATCAATTCTTAGCACCTCATTCTTTGCTAATGTCTTCTTCCTTCCATATCATTGGCTCTTGAGCACATACTACACCTCTTGAAATAGTTGAACTTTCGACCATCTCTTTTTGGTACAGTGATTTTGTGTATTCCTTCCATCTTCTTTTGATGGTTTCTGCATCATTCAATATTTTGCCTAGAGAATCCTTCAATATTTCAAGTCGAGGCTTGAATTTTTTATTCTGTTCTTTCAACCTGAGAAATGCTGAGTGTGTTCTTCCCTTTTGGTTTTCTAACTCTAGGTCCTTGCACATTTCATTATATTATTTAACTTTGTCCTCAAGCTGACCTCTGAAATTTTTCTCTTCAGCTCTTTTTCTTCCTCATTTCTTACATTTGCTTTAGCATCTTTATGCTGGGGAGCGAGTTTCAGAATCTTTTCTGATATCCATTTTGGTCTTTTCATTCTTTCTTATCTTCTTAATGATCTTTTATTTTTTTTCTTCTATGATGTTCTTGATGTCATCCTACAACTCTCTGGTCTTCGGTCTTCAGAGTCTAATTCATCAAATCTGTTTTTGAGATGATCACTAAATTAAGAGGGGATATATTCAAGGGCATATTTTGGCTTTTATGGACTTGTTTTAATTTTCTTCAGCTTTAGCCTAACTTGCATATAAGCAATTGATGGTCTGTTCCATACTCTGCCCCTGTTTTGGCTTTTCTCTGCCCTTGTTTTGGCTTTTCTACCATCTCCACAGACATAGTCAATATGACTTCGGTGTATTCCACTGGTGTGGTTCATGTGTATAGTCATCTTACATGTTGTTTCAAAAACATATTTGCAATGAAGAATTCACTGGTCTTGCAAAATTCTATCATGCAATCTCTAGCATCGTTTCTATCACGAAGGTCATATTTTCCAAAGACTGTTTCTTCCTCTTTGTTTCCAACCTTTGCATTCCAATCATCAGTAATTATCAATAAATCTTGATCACATGTTAGATCAACTTCAGACTAAAGATACTACACTAAGCTTCAATTTGTTCTAAAGAAATGGACTATTGGTAGAAAATTTGAAACTATGGAAACCTCAATGTTTTTTAGGATGTAGTTGCTGTTGCCTCATTCAGTGTCAGTTCGACTCATAGCAACACTGGATAGGGTTTCTAAGGAGCATCTGTTGGGTTTGAACTACCAACAGAGCCAACCACACCAGGACGGAGAATTTAAATGTTGTTCTTGTACCTTTTTAAAAATTAGTCCTTTTCTAATTTAAAATGATTTAATAAGATTTCAAACAACAATTCATTATATAAATCTGACATTTACACATTTTAAAATAGAACATGGTTATGCAATGTAATCACCAGTATTTTAAAAAGTGTTTAGTTCTTGCTCATAAAAAGAGCAACAGGAAACTATTCTATTTTACCTAACCCAGTACTATTCAGTTTGGGATATATTAAGACAAGAGTCAGGAAACATAAACTGTCTAAAGTATGGCATCATAAGACTGCAAAAAACGGTTATTTTCTGAAATTGGTATGGTATACTCTGCCATGTCAAAGGAGTACTGTGGGTTAATGCGCTGGACTGCAAAACTGGTGTGAACCTAGCTCATCAGCCGTTCCTTGGAAACCCTATAGAGGGTCGATATGAGTCAGAACCGACTCGATGGCACTTAATGACCATGTGTGTGGCACTGCAGGATAATGCACTAGGACTGCACGGTTGCAAGGTCACAAGGTCGGTGGTTCAAACTCACCAACGACTCCTTGGAAACTCTGTACATGGTCGCTATGAGTCGGAACCTACTGGACAGCACTTAACAACAACAATCATGGCAACAGATAGGTAGGTACAGCACTAGACTGCTAACCACAGGTGGTGGTTTGAGTCCACCAGCAGCTCCACAGGAAAAAAAAAGCTTTCTGCTCCTGCAAGGATTTACAGCCTTGGAAACTCTATACAGGGCCACTATGAGTTGGAACAGACTTCACAGCATTTAACAACAATGTCAAAATGACAGGAAAAGTACTAAAGAAAAACAGGGGGAGGAGAAGGAAGGATTAGGAAGTTAAAATTAATTCAAAAGTCCTCCCCATGTGGGGAGCTTCTTTTCCAAGCTGCTACTTTCAGCAGACTTTGCTGCTTCTGATGCTTCAGTCCATCACCATTCTGTCTTTCTGAAAAAGACCACGAGTCCTGAGGTACAGCAGTTTCCAAACACAAAGTAGGCTGAGGGGAAGCGCTCTGGCTTGTAGTCTTGGTTCTGTGACTCCACCTTTCTGGGCTTCAGTGTCATCACCAAACTGAGGAAGCTATACAACAGCCCGTTTCGAGCACGCTCCCTGGAGATGGCTGTCACTGCAGTGGAGACACAAAGTAAATGGCCCAACCATCTACTCTACAAAAGTAGATCCATACTCGTCTTTTTTTATGCTATACTTGGATTCCATATAATATTTGGTAAAATAAAGGTGTTGCTGTTTCTCACACACACAAAATTTGGAAACCTATGGACCTTCTGTGTACAAACGGTTAAATGCTCATCTGTAGGGAAAAGCCACCCAGAAGTATACAGGAAGAAAGGCCTGGCAATCTACTTCCAAACAGCCAGCTACTGAAAACCCTACGGAGCAGTTCTACTCTGACACACATGGGTGGCCATCAGTTGGAATCAACTTAATCACAACTTTGCTTTAACATTTCATTTTGTATCCTTCAAAGTACAGACCTCAGAGAGGTACAGAAACCAGAGGAAACTACTGGAGGCAAACGTAAAGACCCAAAGCTGTGTCACTCAAAGTCCTCAGCACTTGAGTGAATTGATGTGCATCACTGAAAACACTCTCTCCTCAGACAAGCTCTCAGCTCACTTCTTGTACCCATCCAGGCAGGGGGCTAGACCATGGCCCCCGCATGTTCAACAATGAATTTAGCATCCAAGAGATTGTTACTGAAGTTGTTAAGTGCCGTCGAGTAGGTTCCAACTCACAGTAACTGATATAGCGTTTCTAAGGAGCAGCTGGTGAGCCAGAACCGCCGACCTTGCAGTTCAAAGTTACCTTGCAGTCTAGCACATTAACCCTCAGCGCCACAGCAGAACTCCTCAAAGAGAGATTGGTGGTGGCGGTGGTCATGGTGGCCATGGAGTCGGTTCCGACTCACAGCTACCCTGTATAGGGTTTACTGAGACTGTAAATCTTTACTGGAACAGAAAGCCTCATTCTCCCGCAAAACAGCTACTAGTTTTGAACTGCTGACCTTGAGATTAGCAGCCTGATTTTTAAAGAGCTCCTTATAAGACAGATTAAAATGCAGCATAAATAAGAGGTTTTAATAACAAACTTGAAAAAATGTATCTACTAAAATGTGTGTTTTAAATTTCTTTTAAACAAATACAAGGGAACTACAAAAAGTTGATCGAGAAGTTCCATTAGCTTATGTTTAAAACACTTGGGCATATATAATTTACACCACACCAAAGGGAACAAGTCCGCCTCCAGGCCGCCATTTCTTTGTCCCTCACTTGCCATGAATCTAGAGTCCTCAGCCACACCCCTCCCTCTCCATGTCCTTATCTCCTGCCTCCATCTCTGGTGTAGCTGCTTCTCTGGATAAGGTCTCTTATTCTGCTTGTGCTCTTCTCCCTTGATGATCCCAGGATCCTTTGTTTGTGGACTGTAAGATTAACCACTCCCATGTTTTTGTTACAAAACTTCTATCTTTACAATTGTGACAGTTGCAGTTATAGTCCTGATAATAACAACTCATTATTGAATGATAAGAATCTTATCACCATCTCTTTTAACCGGACCCATCTAGGCAAGATAAAAATTATTCAGTGGAGACTCTTTCCCCACACACTATAAAACTAAGTTTCCCCTTGAAACCTTGTAAGCCAGTCACTTCACGCCTTTATCACCCCCTTATTTTAGGAGGCCAATGTCTAAGTTGTCCATTCCTATCCATATCAGCTGGATGCTTCACTCTCAGTTCTAGACCTCCATGGCTATGTCTTTGTCCATAGACTCAGGTGTCCCCAGATCTCACCATATTTTGGACCAACCACAGCCCTTCCTCTTCTCTCTCTCATCTCCAAGTTCACAGGAGTCTGTGGAATATGGCTAAACTCAGCCCATTTCTTCATTGCTGCCTTTCCCCCTCTTCCACTCACCAGTAGACCAACATGGGCACCAGCAAGCTTACATGCCAGCTCATGTGTTCCCTTTGAGTTTCAGTCTTACAGGGGGAGTTTGTCCTGAAGGAACTTGATTGCTTGCCTTGATGGCTTCCCAGCGAGCAATCTCCTTATTCTTGTAGTAGCCAGGCATACTGCCATTTTTGTTTTGGGTTTTTCCCGATGATCTTTCTTTGAAGATGTATCTTCTGTCATTCTAGCTGTTCCAGGCTGTTCATTAACTTTTAATGCCATCTTTCCATAACTTTCTGAAGCTCCCTTGTATTCATATTTTCAAAATGCTTTTTCTTAAAAAAATTAGAAGAATATCTTGTAAGAGCACACTAACTCATTCAGATGCAATTATTTCTGTGGACGGTTTCCTAAGAAATTTTTCCTACTGTAAAATTTTTGCTACTTTGGGGACTTAACAGCATTTAGCCATTATGTTATGAAATTAGTGCTTTTATAATGTGAAAGTAAAACATTCAGTTTAGTCTGTATATGTAGAAAAGGAAGAGAGGAAAGGAATGGAGCTCAAAAAAAAAAAAAGTAGAATTTTTGCTACTTTGAGGACTTGACAGTATCTAGCCGTTAGATTATGAAATTAACACTTTCATAATCTAAAAGTAAAACATTCATTTTAGTCTTTATATGTAGGGGAAGTGAAGAGGAAAGGAATGGAGCTCAAACAAAAAACCACAACCTTTTAATTCCTTCAAGCTTTTTACCAAAATAATTATCTTTATTACAGATGCAAAGTCATTCCCACAAAGGAAAAAGCAATTATAAGACATGAGTAGTAGGATCAGCAACAGCAACACTGCCCTATTTTGTTACCTCAACACTAAATTATACTACCTACTTTTTAGCATAGTGGTTACGAATTGGATTGCTATAACCTCAAGGTCGGCAGTTCAAAACTACCAGCTGTTCCACAGGAGAAAGATGAGGCATTCTGCTTCCGTAAAAATTTACAGCCTCAGAAATCCTGTGCAGGGTCACTATGAGTCGGAACCAACTCCACGGTACTTAACAACAATGTTTTAATAAAGAATTTTCAAAGCACGTTCTAAAATTGTAATGTGCTTGATACCAGTCTTTGAGTTCAAAAGAGCTGATGACATATTTTGCTAATTCACTCTTATCTGTGGCCTGAAATTCATTAGTATGATTTCATATCACTTAGCAACCATCTTTCAAAGAAAGGTGAAGGTGCCTAAGAATTCCACCTCAGCATAAGAGGTCAAAGAACTTTGTCACCACCATTCCAGTGTGATGGGTGGGAAATGGCCCCCGCCAAGAAGGCCCCATGATTCAAACACTGTTAAGGATAAAAAAAATTTCCTAGCTGGAGGTGGAATGGTAAAAAGCTCAGAAGAATGGGGCAATCACCTTCACTTGCTCTATGATGCCTTCTGGTAGCGAAATGTATGAAAGACATCCAAGCTATACCCACACCAGGACTCAAACTGTTTGCCAACTGTACTGAGGAGATATAGGATTCTGGCTTCCCAAGACTCAGGAGAGCAGAACGGCTACCTGCAGTTGCAGAATATGAAGACTAGGCAAGATATGTCTAAATCTTAGTCCAGGAATCATTTTCTCAAGGTTAACCCTGGTTGGTCCCTAGCAGAGACAACTGGCTTTGAGCACAGGATATTTCAAGGTTAACTAGTCAGATGTTAAGGAGAAACATGTACCCTTAATACCACCAGGTACCCTTACAGTCTCAACACAATAGGGACACTTCTCATTAATAACTTGTCAGAACAACATGTGGCTCTCTTCTCTGAACTGCTTTTGGCATTCACAGCTGCATACCAATTGTCCCTACACATCAAATTAACTGGAATGTACTTATAGTAAAGGAACTTCTCCTCAGGAGCATGTGGACCACAGCTGCCTGTCACATGAGACATACTCCATGCAGGGTACTGTGCACAAACCACACACCATCCCCTAACCTGCCTCTCCTTATGCCCTATTGCTCTTAAGGCCACAGGACTATATGCTTAATTAACACCATGGCCAAACTATATATGGAATAGGAAAAGTTTCTAGGTCCCAAAGAAATAATGAGCTTAAAGAATGAGTTGCCTTGATCTTATAGCTCAAGGACTGACTACTGTTCAAAAATGCTTTATTTTCCCCCTTGAGATTTACAAATTAACTCAACAGCTGCTGACAGAGCCCACAGCTTCCCCTTACATCCTTTGCTATATATGTTTATATGTTGTTGTTGTTGTTGTTATGTGCTGTGGAGTTGGTTCTGACTCATAGCGACCCTGTATAGGGTTTCTGAGGCTGTAAATCTTTACAGGAGCTGAAAGCCTCATCTTTCTCCTGAGGAACAGCTGGTAGTTTCGAACTGCTGACCATGAGATTAGCAGCCTGATTCGTAACCACTACACTACCAGAGCTCCTATATATGTATATGTGTGTGTGTGTGTGTGTGTGTATGGGTGTTTCTATGGAAAGAGGTAGGGCATACCTAATTCAATACTTGTGTCTATGAAAAGGAAACAAAATTATGCCAAGTGGGGAATCTAACAGCAAATTAAGTCTGAGTGGTCTCCAAAGTAAATGAGCCTTGAACTTCAATGTTCTGAAGCTCAGGGGGAAACAAGCAAAACCTGGCGTTAGTGGAACAAAGATGTTCATAACTGCAACAATGTAATTACTATTAATTCGAGCAAACCCATCCTCTCCAACCTTTACCAGGACATAGGAGACAGAACCTTGAGACAGGCAATTTGTGCCAGGTGAGGAGAGGAGAGCACAGCACTGAGGAGCTGGACACATCAAACAAGTGCCACTGAGGGACACCTGAGGCCACTACTCCTCCTTTAACAATGAAATGATTGGAGAAGCAGAACAAGCCCCACCACAGCCCCTCATTGCCCCAACACCACTGGTTTGCTACTGACAAACAGCACTGATTTCTGAGGTTTTACTTGTTTGTTGTGGGTACTTTGGACACAAAGGAAGAGGACTGAAATGCCAGTTCAGTCACTTAACTGTTGCTCAAATTTTCTACATACCAGTTTCTTCATCATAAGATGGAGAATACACTTTTTCTCCTAGAATTGTTGTGAAGAATAAACAAATGACAACAACAAAAATTTATGTAAAGTTCTTAGCACCGTACTCAAAATATAGCTCTTACCATTTTTTTGAAAAAGCAGACACTCAGGTACTATCACTTACTTGTGGTAATTCTCCTTTTTCTCATCTCGCCAGTTTTTATTTAACTGGTGAATTTTCACAGCTACATATCTTTGCTCTGTTAGGTCAAATGCCTATGAAGCAAAGGAATAAATTACATTCTGTATCATAAACACTAACAAGACTCACAGGCAACTACTGACTTGAAGTTTTTACTTAACAGATCAACACAGTCAAAGTTTAAAAGATATTATCAAATAAAAACAGCAACACATAACAACACATCACGTACTTATTTCAGTTTAGCAAACATCTTCTTAAAACTTGGGATCAGAAGTCTCCAGACGCACTGGCACCAAGGGGTTTAGAAAATAAAAACAAGTACACACCACAAGCCGAAAGATGACCCAGTCACTTTGAAGCAATTCTCTTTCTGGACACCATCTCCTGTCATTTGGAATAGCTTTCCACTGGCAGGGGACTTTCAGTTGCCCAAATTGAGACTGGCGACTTTTACAACGTGGGGAAATCATACTGCCTGTCAGGCTCCACATTTACTCCTGGAGGAAATAGCCCTCAGGATCTATCTTTTGGGCATGATTGTTTATAAAACATAAGCCTGTAATTTGCTATAATTTGTCTACTAAAATAAAGAAACAAAACCAAAACACAGCCCTGCCAGCAGTCCCACTCCTCAACCTATGTAAATGAAAAGTGGGTTTTGATTCCAGAATGCCAGAGGGAGTCAGACTCAGACCCTTCTCCAGTACTGTTCAGAAAAAGTAAACAGCAGCTCAGGAGAGCTATCCCATGAGGTGAAAAGAGAAGGTAACAGGTATGTTTGTGAAGAAGCTAGGTGTAAAACACTACTTGATAAAGTCAGTCATATTTTAATATAATAAGACAAATTCCTCCACATAAAAGAATTTTATTGACAAATTCCTTTGAAATATGAATAGTTTGTCTTAGTTTTAAAGATTAAAAATGTATCAGCTGGTCCTTGGAAACCCTATACAGGGTCGCTATGAGCCAGAATGACTCAATGGCACAATTCCAATGCCATTATCATCATAGGCCAGTTTCCACAAAAGGAAAAGCAAGTGAAGGTGACAGGTAAAACAGCATTACAGCTGATACACAGTAGTGATTACTACTGTCTGGATCATTTCAAATGCAAGCAACTTCTAGGTAAGCACTGCCTGTAAGATCAACTTCAAATTTATAACACATTTAAATCAGCATTTTCAAGTATAAAACCAACTCAATTCAAATTCATTTCTCTTCTTTCACAGAATTGGAAGCTTTTTAGTCTTTAGTTTTCTTACAGAGACTGAAGTCCATCTGTAAGCCCAGGCATCATCATGCATTTAAAGTGGTGGTGGTTGTGAGCCATCCAGTCAGTTCTGATTCATAGAGACCCTATATAGGGTTTCGTAGGCTATAAATCTTTATAGGAGCAAAAAGCCTTATCTTTCTCCAGCAGAGTGGCTGGTGGACTCAAACAAGTGATTTTGTTTGCAGTTAACAGCTCAATGCATAACCCACTATATACCACCAGGGCTCTGGATTGACAGTAGAGCCATTTTAAACCAGCAGAAATCAGACTGAAGATTACCAATTTGTAAGAGCACTAGCAGCCTGACACGTGTCCGTTTCTTCAACTATCATACCACTATTTCTGAATCTAAGACAACATGGATTTTAAGATGGCACTTAACAACAACTGACTTAAGAAGGGCTTTTGGAAGGTGAAGAATAGCAAAAGAATAATTGTTGTTGTTATGTGCCGTGGAGTAGGTTCCAACTCATAGCGACCCTGTACAGGGTTTCCAAGGCTGTAAATCTTTACGGGAGTAGAAAGTCTCATCTTTCTTCCGCGGAACAGCTGGTAGTTTCGAACTACTGACCTTGAGATTAGCAGCCCAATTCGTAACCACTACATTACCAGAACTCCTAAAGAATAACCAGATTACATGTATATGTTATTGTAAGAAGCATCTAGACTTCAGAAATGTTAGAATGTTTGAAGTTAATATAATACATTAGAAAAAAAGGAAGTGATGAAATCACATTTCTGAAGTACCAAGAACCAACTGTCACAATTTTAAAAAGGAAACCAGCAAAACCAGTGATTACTGTTTTTATCTGAAATGAAGCCTAATTATTTTACTCAGATTTCCCATCTGTAAATTTATATGTGCTTAAATGTAAAACAGTAAGACTGCACCTAAGAGAGAATTACCACAAAAACATAGCAAAGACTATCAATAAATTAATTTTGCATATTAAAACCGTGTTAGAAACATCTAGAGATTTAAGGAGGTCATAACTGATGAAAGGGTTATGGATTTGTAGCTCTATTTAAAGTTGGATAGCTCTCGCCTTGAGTGAGAAATGAACCTGTAGACATAACAGTCAATAGTGTGCTGGTCCATCTGAAAGAAGCACTCTGAGCCGGAACTCCCGTGCTCGGAGACGCTCTGATTTAGAAGATGAGAACTTTTTTAAAAAACAAAAGGCAGGTCTTTTGTTTGCAAACAATTAGTCCAATGAACTAAAGGGCCATGTGAACAACATTCTCCACAATCCTAAAACCAGAAGAACTACAAGGTGTCTGGCTACCACTACCAATAACTCCAAAAAGGATCATACTACAAGGTCCTGAATAGAGTTGGAGAAAATATGACACAAAACTCAAAATGATAAAAGGACCAGGTTTACTGGTTGGATAGACACTAGTGGAACCCCAAGACTAGGGTCACCCTTCATGTCCATGGCTCAATTTTCAGCCAAACAATAGATAGGAATATAGTGGTGAGGTAAGCACACCATAGAATGGTGAACCATTCCAAATCAAAAGGACAGCATTTACTCAAAGTTCAGAAGGACTGGGAAAGGAGGAGGAATGAAAACAAGAAAACAGGGAGGACATGGGATAAGTGATGTTACAATAAGGGGATTGCCATCACTGAGATGAAACCAAGTGTATGATTTGTTGAATGTAAAACTGATGATCTGCTCTGTAAACCTTCACTCAATTCACAATAATGAGATTTTTTTTTAAATCAAGTCTTTCAAAATAGAGCTATCTTTGAAACATCTGTTTTATGAAAACCCCAGAAATTACTCTGTTTTTCCTTCCCATCTTTTATCTATATAGATTTTTCAAAGCTAAAAACAGGGTAGAGTCGCTTTAAATTTATTGGCAGCAGCTCTCCTAAAAACACAGGTTCTTAGTTTTTGAATTCCAATATCTAGTTATCCGTCCACAGTTATCAACACTCTAAACTGTTCTCCAAGTTAGTATTAAGCAGTTTAAGTTAACCCTCAGTCTTACACAGCAATCCAGTTCCTCAATCTTACCTTGTAAACTTCACTGAAGCCGCCTCTACCCAAAAGATGTAACAACAAATATCTGTCATTTAGCGTTGGATGATCTTTAAATCTGTGGAAACAGGTAACATATATGTCCTGAGGTCAAGGACTGTAGAGTCCCTCAAATTCACAGAATCCAAATAGCTAACTCATCATACATATTATTATGCAACAAAGGTGTTGCCCATAGTTTAACAGCCAACTCCCATATCATTCATTCTAAGCATAAAGTAGGTGCCACAGTTCAGCATAATTACAGTAAACAGCATTAACTATGTATGGCGCCACAAAACACAAGTGCCAGTCTCAGAGGAGCCACAATTAGCCCTGGGATCTTCCTAACCTTCTTCCTTTCCTATCCTGAGGGGTAGGGGTTCTGGTGGCAGAGGGGCTAAAGCACGCTGTCAACTGAAAGATCTGCAGTTTGAACCCACCAGTCACTCTGTGGGAAAAAGAGATGTGTGTGACCGCCTACTTCCACAAAGATTACTTTGGAAACCTTGTGGGGCAGTTCTACTGAGTCCTACACAGTCTCTAGGATAGAGGATGGCTGTTCAAACTGGGCTATTTGGCTCTTCTAAATCTCAGGAGCCCAAACAACATTCAGTAAAATTATAAGATATTTCAGGGTTTCAAAAGCTATACATCTTTATGGGAGCAGAAACCCTCACCTTCCCACCATTGAGCAGCTGGTGGGTTTGAGTTGCTGTCCTTGCAGTTAGCAGCCCAATGATTACCCTACAGTACTTGTTGTTAAGTGCTGTCGAGTCGGTTCCATCCCATAGCGACCCTGTATAGGGTTTCCGAGGAGCAGCTGGTGAGACTGAACCACAGACCTTGTGGTTCAAACTGACTTTGCAGTCTAGCACATTAACCCATAGCGCCACACCAGGACTCCTATAGTACTATGCTGTCTTAAAAATGAAGTGGTTATAAAATTTATCATATGTTCTATGTACATTCATCTCTCCCTAAGACAGGCTATGATAGAAAGAATGGTTTTCCCCAGACAGTATTCTACCTTGTGTCATTTTCTAACAAATTTAAGAATATTTCTACCTAGCTTCTGATCTTAAACAGCCCCATTATTAGTTTTTTTGTTTTTTTTTTTTAATAATATTTGAATGTATTTTCAGTGAAAGTTTACACAGCAAATTAGATTCCCATTTGATAATTTCTATACAAGTTGTTCAGTAACATGTTTCTCAACTTGTCCACATACTCACTGTGTTCTGGTTGTTTCATTTTCAGCGCCCTTACTTTCCAGAACCCATTGTGTTTTTATCTTTACTTTAGAGTAACTGTTCATCTGTTGATCTCATATAGGTGTTAGCACACTATTAATTCTGAAATTATTTTAAGTAAGTGGCATGCAGACAGGAAAAGATGATAGTACTGGCTGCATGGTGTTTAGCTCTGGAGTCAGACAGATTCAAGTCGGAGTTCTTGTTTGGCTATACTAGTTACGGGTTCCTGGTCTAGTTCATTTAATGTCTGCTCGCCCCTTTCTAGGTCTGTGTACTGAAGATGGCCTACCTCAATGGGTCACAGTGAGGATTAATGAGAGAGAGCATGAGGGCACTTAGCACCGTACACAGCATGCAGAGTGCTCGGCATGTGGTAGCTGCTGCTGCCTACTACTTTACAGAAAAGTCATGGCTCACACTGGCCAAGCCAAAAGTCCATGTTGTTATTGTTAGGGACCATCAAGTCGGTATCGACTCATAAGGACCCTATGCAACAACTGATGCCACTTGGTCAATCCATTTCGCTGGGGGTCTTCCTCTTTTTCTCTGACCCTCCACCTTACCAAACACAATATCCCTCTCCAGTGACTGGTCGCTCCTGACAATATGTCCAAAGCATGAGAAACAAAAGTTTGGCCATCCTGGCCTCCAAAGAGCACTCTGGATGTACTTCTTCCAAGAGATCTGTTGGTTCTTTTGGCAGCCCATGGCACTTTCACTATTCTCCTCTAACACCTTAACTCAAATGCATCAATTTGGTCTTCCTTATTCACAGTCCAGCTTTCACATGCATATGACGTTATTGAAAATATCATGGCTTGGGTCAGGCGCACGTTAGTTTTCAAGCTGACATCTTTGCTCTTCAACACTTTAAAAACGTCTTGTGCAGCAGATTTGCCTAAAGCAATACATCGTTTGATCTCTTGACTGCTGCTTTCCATGAGTGCTGATGGGTTGATTCAAGCAAAATGAAGTCCTTGACAACGTCAATCTTTTCTCCATTGATAAGAATGTTCATTGGTCCAGTGGTGAGGATTTTTGTTTTCTTTACATTGAGATGCAACCCATACCAAAGGCTGTGCTCTTTGATCTTTGTCAGTAAGTATTTTAAGTACACTTCACTTTCAGCAAGCAAGGTTGTATCATCAGATTGTTAATGAGTCTTCCTCCAATCCTGAACCCATTCTTCATGAACCCAGCTTCTCAGATTATTTGTTCAGCATACAGGTTGAATGAGTATGGTGAAAGAATACAACCTTGTTGCACACCTTTCTGAATTATAAACCATTCAGTGTTCCCATGATTTGTTCGAACAACTGCATCGTGGTCCAGGTACAGATTCCTCATGAGCACAATTAAGTGTTCTGGAATACTCACACTTCACAATGTTGTCCATAGTTTGTCATGATCCACACAATCGAAAGCCTTTGCGTAATCAATAAAGCACAGGTAAACATCTTTCTGGTATTCTCTGCTTTTAGCCAAGATCCATCAGACATCAGCAATGATATCCCTCATTCCACAGCCTCTTCTGAATCCAGCTTGAACCTCTGGAAGTTCTCTGTCAATGTATGCTTGCAGCCATTAGTAAAATTTTACTTGCATTGGGGTATCAAAGAAATTGTTTGATGATTTCCACATTCCGTTGGGTCACCTCTCTTTGGAATGGGCACAAATATGGATCTCTTTCAATCAGTTGGCCAGATCATTGTCTTCCAAATTTCTTGGCAGACATGAGTGAGGGCCTCCAGTACTGCCTCACTTTCTTGAAAAATTTCAATTTTTATTCCATCAATTCCTGGTGCCTTGTTCTTCACCAATTCCCTCAATGCACCTTGGACTTCTTCCTTCAGTATCAAAAGTCCGTAACTATGTCAAAAAATCAAGTTTCAGAATGGGAAAAATGTGGGAAAGAACAGACTGCTCACACATGTCACTTCCCACTTCCAGTTCCCTTTTTCGTTTCAGTACCTTAAATGATTTGACTACAAACAGGGGCATTTACCTCCAATTGACGGGCTGAATTTAAGAGGTGGTGGTGGTTATGTGCCGTGGAGTAGGAACCAACTCATAGCGACCCTGTACAGGGTTTCTGAGGCTGTAAGTCTTTACGGGAGCAGAAAGCCTCATCTTTCTCCCATGGAACAGCTGGTAGTTTCAAACTGCTGATGTTAAGGTTCACAGCCTGATTCGTAACCACTACACTACCAGAGCTCCTTGAATGTAAGAGAGTCCTGCTTAAAATCTCAATACTCGAATTGCCCTTAAAGACTGTCCAGAAATCAGATGTTCTCTCAACTCACTCTTCTTTTGATACCACCATACTGCCACCATGATTCCTTTATATCCAGAGTCTAGGTAAGTCTCTCAGTAAAATCTACAGTGTATCCAAACCATCTCCACTGTACAACCGTATTGTTGTAGTGCCCTCGGCTCCTATGGAAATGGTACAGCACATGTATACTTAATACAGATATTTAAACTAAACCAAAAATAAAACCAAAAAGACCTTTCTTAGATAGAGTAGAACTGCTCAGTAGGATTTCTGAGACCATAAGTCTTTACAGGAGGAGACACTCATCTTTATTCTACAATGTGGCTGGCAGGTTTGAACCACCATCTTTGTGGTTAGCAGTCCAACACTTAAATCTATTTTGCCACCAGCGTTCCTATTTAAATGAAAGCAAATCACAGTTTGTTCAAAACTTTATTATATTGCCATTGTTAAGTTCCAACTCATAGGGACCCTGTATAGGATTTCCAAGGAACACCTGCAGAGTTTGAACCACCAACCTTGTGGCTCAAACTGACCTTGAGGTCCAATTACTTATGCTACAGGACACCACCAGGACTCCAAAATACTAAATTCAGCTAAACAAACTGTGAAATCATTTATAAATTTATATTAAGTAAAAACATCAATCCAGACCATTCATTCCATGTCAGGAAAAAGTTCTGTAATCTCTACCCCAACATCGCCCCAAGGTGCTTACTGTGAATTATCTTCATTGTGTATCCTTTTTAGTTCCCTGATATGTAGATTTCTAACCCTTTCTAGCCTTTCCAGCTCTGCCTGGATCTCCGCTTCCTCCTAAAGTGGAAAGAAAAGACAGAGAGAGCTCAGGACATAGGCAATGTTCCTTTTCAGACATCTCACTAGTGAAAAGCTAAAGAAAGATGTTTTGCATTGAAAAAATATTTCTGAAAACTAGAATTTTAATCTACAAAAAGTTATAGCAAATAAAATGCAACTCCCACAGAACAGTAAAGGAGAAAAAAAGACGTCTTCTGTCCCCAACTCCTTCCTGTCCACTCCACAGATGTAACCGCTGTTAAGCTTTGTAAGTTTTCAGAAATGTTGTTTTGTAAATTTTCAGATATGTTTTGTGTATATATACATATAATTACACAAAAATAACTCTAAATAGTAAACCAAGTTTAACAGACTAAAATGAAATCCATTTTTACCAATAGCAGATACGCTTAAGAATAAATTATACTTGGTGGGTCACGTTCCACTGATTTAACAAGCTCCAATAACCCAGACAGGAAAAAGTATGAAAACCAACATGTGATATCAAAAGAACAGGAACAGCAGTTTAGTGAGTGCTCATTTGGAGTTTCTGGGTGGTACATACCAGTTAATGTGCTCAACTGCTAACCAAAAGTTGGAGGTTCAAATCCACCCAGATGTGTCTTGAAAAAAAAAGGCCTAATACCTGAAAAATCATATATTGAATGCCCTGTGGAGCAGAGTTCTATAATGAAACACATGGGGTGGCTATGATTTGGAGTTGACCTGATGACTACCATTAGGTACCTGCCAAAAATGTATGGGTAGTTAAACTCACGTGCTGCACTAGCAACCTCTAGACACCTCAGTGAGTGCTATCAAATGCTATGTAATTCTTTGTGTTCAACTATGGCTGATATAAAAATTTCTCTTATTAGCAGCTACTTAAACCAAGATATGAGAGCGCCTATGTGATTAAAAAATATCACAGGCATTTTGACACCAGTTTCAGACTCATCTGCTATTTTCATTTTTACTATAAGGATAACCTCTTGTGAGGTTTTATGATGTAAGGCTGCATTAGGGGGAAAAAGCACACTACTAGGAGGTTGGCATTGACTCTAAAGTAGAAAGCATGAATTCCCTCCCCAATTAGAATTTAAGATGTGAGACAGTGAGAATAAATACTCATGATTTCAGCAGTTACATGAAATTACCTTTTCATTTACCCAAATAGCTTAAAAACCAAATGTAAAATAAAAATTGCATTTCTCCAGGCAGATTTTTTTTTTTTTTAATTTTACTTACCTTTTTAAGGTGACCTAATCTGAGTTTGAAGATTTCTTCTTGTTCATGGTATTCTGCTAATGTTAACCTAGAAAATAATGGTTAAAATGCCAGTTAATTATTGGAAATCATGGTATGCCTATTTAAAAAGAAATGCCAATGCATGCTATAAGCTATATAAGCTCGAAAAAAATGGAATTAAAAAATAATGGCGCATGGCACTTAACAACATTAACAACCAGAGATAAAAGGCACAAGGTTTTGTTTTTGTTTTTTTGAGGTAATGGAAATGTTGTAAAGTTTACTTTGGTGTTGATTGCAAGTACCTGTGAATACAATAAGAACCACTGAATTGTATGTTTTAAATGGGTAAATTGTATTGTGTATGAATTATATTTCACTAACGCTTAAAAAAAAAAAAAAAACACCAAAAAATAAAATAAAACAATGGAATAGGATGAACATAAAGCTAATGTTCTCCCATGTAAACTATCACTATAATTCACAATCAAGTATTTTTTAAAATTGGAATTTTCCACAAACTTTTTGAAGCCCTGCATCCTCACAGTCTCTTAGGATCACTAAAAGACATGCTAGTTTGCAGTCCAGTCCTCTAACCAGAAAATTTTTTGTCATATATGTATCAGATGTGATGCAAACGAAGGTCTTCAAAGGCAGAAGTTCAATTTGTCAAACAAAGAGCAAAACAGTCTAGCCATATTTATGAAATGGAATTTGTTATAAACTTTACATTATCCAGATGAGAACTCTTAGGATCTAACAGCAGATAAACTATGTGCCTAAAAACTTTTTTAAGGCAGAACAATAAGCCACTGAATTTCATTACTCTTGATAATAACTTGTAAACCTTGGATTCATAATAGGACAAAAACAAAACAACGTAGTGGAAAGAAGAGATTTAATCTAGGACTAGGATTCAAGGCACAATTTGGCCACTAGCCAAGTGACCTTGGACAAGCAATTTTAACCTCGTCTCAATTTCCTTAAAAATGCAGCAATGATACTAACGCAACAAAGGTTTTGTGACTATTAAAAGAAAATGGGGGGGTGGGATGATCTGTAAATTACAAAATGCTATTTAGACACAATATTCAAAGGGCTGACCTAATGGGGAACCAATCTACTTCATATCCTACCTACCCCACCCCCCACGGCATTCTTGTATCTCACAAATGAGCATATAGGAAGTTACACTTTGTTATTGTTGTTAAGTGCCATCGAGTCAGTTCTGACCCATAGTGACCCTGTATAGAGTTTCCAAGGCTGTAAGTCTTTATGGGAGAAGAAGGCCTCATCTTTCTCCTGTAGAACCGCAAGTAGTTTCAAACTGCTGACCTTGAGGTTAGCATTAGCAGCCCAACTCGCAACCCCTACACTACACTTAACTCCTCCCATTAAATACACTCGACTCCTTGGAGGACAGGACAGCCAAACTTCGTCTCTCATACTTCAGACATATTGTCAGGAGGGACAAGTCACTGGAGAAGGATATGATGTTTGGTAAGGTGGAGGGGCAGAGAAAAAGAGAAAGACCTCCAACGAGATGGACTGGCCAAGTGGCAGCATCGTTGGACTCAAGTGTGGCAACAGTAGTGAGGCTGGCCCAGGATCGGGCAGTGCTTCATTCTGCTGTGCATAAGGTCACTATGAGTCAGTACCGACTCGATGGCACCTAACAACAACTATTAGTCCTGGTGTGGCACTGTGTGGGTTAATGCGCCTGACTGCAAAACTGTTTGAACTGCAAGGTCGGCAGTTCAAGCTCACCAGCTGCTCCTCGGAAACCCTATACAGAGTGGCTATGGGTTGGAGCCGACTAGACGACACTTAACAACAACAACAACAACTGAGTCCGAACTGTAGGATAAAGCACTGGACTGCAAGGTCACTGGTTCAAACTCCTCACCAGCTTTCTTTGGAAGCTCTATACAGGGTCACTATGAATCAAAACTGACTCTACAGTACTTAACAACACTACCACCATTGGAACCGACTCCATGGCACTTGACAAACAACAAACCTTTTAGAGGAGTCCTGGTGTGGTGCTATAGGACAGGCACTGGACTGCTAACGTCAAAGTTGGCAGTTCAAACCCACTAGTCACGACATCGAAACCCTATACAAGATCACTCTGAGTCAGAACCGGCACTTAACAACAACAACAAACCTTCTAGAAGCAGACAAATACACTGTACATTGAAGTTTCAGAATTCACTGTTTGGATATACTATAAATAGCAGACGAAGTAAGAAATCACTATTCTATTAACCTGGAGCATGGTGGCTCCACAGGATAAGCACAGGACTGAGAACCACAATGTGAGCAGTTCAAGTTTACCAGTTGCTCCATAAGAGAAAGATTGAGGTTTTCTGCTCCTGTAAAGATAGGAGCTGGAACCGACTCGGCATTTAAGAATAAATTCTATCAATTAGAAAAGGCTACAAAATGAAGCCTTTGAGAGCTGACTCGCAAAAGAAACACACCCACTGTTGTGACAACTCTCTCTTCACAGTTGCAGAATGACTTGTATGTCCATTGCTCCATTGCATACCAGTGAAAATGGGAGAGGGGGGAAAAAATGTAGCTATAAATTCTCTCTACTTGAAACAATTCCAAAGCCTGAAAAGAATAATGTGACTGACTCCAAGAATCCAAAGGCCTCTGTTTTCAGATTTGGTCAAAGGCATGAACCAAATCAGAGATTCTCTAATTAAAAACTGGACATCAGGTCTTCCTGCTTGGATTTTACAAAGAAGTCCATTTGGCCACTGCTTACTAACTCACTATTGGCCTAGATTAAATTCTAATTACTGTTCTGTGGCCAGGAAACAACATGGGCCCTCTTTCTCATTCCTAAGCCATCTATAAATTTTTTTAAGTATTATTAATAGGATAGTAAGGAGCTCTGGTAGCGTAGTGGTTACGAATCAGGCTGCGAACCTTAAGGTCAGCGGTTTGAAACTACCAGCTGCTCCGCGGGAGAAAGATCAGGCTTTCTACTCCCATAAAGATTTACACCCTCGGAAACCCTGTACAGGGTCGCTATGGGTCGGAACCAACTCAACGGCACTTAACAACAATAGGATAGTACTTCATAAAATAAATGCAGGCATCATAAAGGAAGATAACAAGCAGATTAATGTGTACACCATTTGACTGGAGAACATTCAAAGTGTAGACAAAAGGTCCCCTCAACACATATCAGGCATGTATGGAGTGGAGGTTAGTGTTAGGTTTTCTCACTGGAATGAAGGAAGATGAATCTCTGAGCTGCCATAGGCTTTTAACAATGGTGTAATGCAAGCATTATTGTACTTGAGGTAGATTATGGGTTAAAAACTGGGAAATACATAAAAAGACTTATTTATCAATAAACATTATAACTATATATACTATGCCTTCTGCGTGTGGTTATCTTTAGAACTGGAACTTATTTTCAATTCAAAATCCCAACGATAGCTTTAGAAAATTTTCTCCCTTAAAACTACTGTAGATACAACTGTTTCTATGAAAGAAATATTTTTTAAAATTTCAAAACATTCAATTCAGAAACCAACTTCAGGGTTACTACTATTTTAAAGATTGTCTAAACTTTTATTTTTAGATCCCTTTTCTGTTTTAATTGGAAAGCCTATTGATATTTAAATGTCTTTCAGGTATGCATCAGAAATACTTGAAAAAGAGCTAAGTGATAGATATGGGCACAAAGGAGCTTCAGAAAGACAATGGAATTTTCATGAGGCAGTCTTGGGGGCTGGGACGGGGGACCTAGGTTCATTTCCTGACTAATGCACCTGGTGCACAGCCCCATTTGCCTGTTAGTGGTAGGTTGTGCTTTGTGAAGAGGCCAAACAGGTTTGGAGCTTTCAGACAAGAATGTACTAGGGAGGAAGGCCTTGGAGATGTACTTCTGAAAACCTGGCAATGGGAAGCCCTACGGATCCCAACAGTCCAGTACACCACTGATACAGGTATGGTGGAGAACCCGGCAGCATTCCTTCTATCGTGCACAGAGTCACCAGGAGCCGGGGGCCAATTTGCCAGCAGCTAACAATTGACACACAGGTTTCCTCTCCCGTGCCAATATGCTTGGTAGTACCTGCCTAGTAGCAAACTATAGTTTAAGGATCGTTTGACTCAGAGTCTTGTTTTCATAAACATAGTTTATTTGAACATGGCCATGCCCATTCACTTATAAATCATCTATGGCTTCTTTTCAAAATGGGTTGTTACAAGAAAGAAGGATAGCCCACTAAGCCTAAATATTTACTATCCAGTTTATTATAGAAAGACTTTGCCTATCCTGATTCTAGGGAAAGATTTTCTGAGTGAGCAAGAATGCAATTATCAATCAAGATGAGGGGGAAAAGAAAGGTATCTGGGGTTTTCTACTCCTTTTGTTCACAACTACATAGCAACTACTGACTAACAATGAAAAATGATGATTGCATTGCAAGTTAGGATACTGCAATCTTCATAAGACAGCAAAACAGGAAATAATTCTGGTGATGTCAAGATTTGCCTTACTTTTCCTAAACAACAGCTCCTCTTTTTTGAGTAACAGTTTGTGATTATTAACTCAGTGCTCTTTGTAACAGGCCCCAGCATGCATTAGTATTCTGCATCCCTCAATATGAAACAGTATCCAGGCAATCTCCCTAAGACAATACCAATGTATCATAACCTAGAGCCAAATGTAAGCAATAAGACCGTCTGAATACAACAATGACATAGCATTTGCTATAAGAGTGACATTATTTGTCTCTTTTGAAACTCCCCAAATAAAGAGCAGGCCTAAGAAAACCAGTTAATGTAACACTTCTTTTGTTTTTATATGAGTTGAGAAATCGTTGACGTGACTAAAAAAAGAAAGCTTAAATTCTACAAGCATCCACAATTTAGCACGTTTTACCCAGCGTCATTCAAGAGTACATTTGTGTTTAGGGGAAGGCTATGGTGTTTCACATTTCACATCAACAAAGAACATACGTTTCATTTTCAGCTCCATTGGTCTTGCTTTTCCGCTGTTTCTGCTCATTGGTTGCTGGAGGGGCCTGTCCCATGGCAGGAGGTTTTCGCTTTGCTAACATTTTCCGTTGTCTTTCTATTTCTTCCCTTTGTGAATTTATCCTCTCCTGTTGCCTAGAGTTATGAAAGGAGTTGGACAAAGGAGGAAGGTGAAAAAAATTTTAAACACAACTATTAAAAGAGATAAGGAGTTCTCCTAGCGTAGTGGTTATGAATCGGGCTGTGAACCTTAAGGCCAGCAGTTCAAAATTACCAGCCACTCCGCGGGAGAAAGATGAGGCGTTCTGCTCCCATAAAGATTTACAGCCTCGGAAAGCCTGTACAGGGTCGCTATGGGTTGGAAGCGACTCGACGGCACTTAACAACAACAACATTAAAGAGCTCGAGTCCTAGTGTGGCACTGGATACACACTGGTCTGCTAACTGCGAAGCTGGCAGGTTCAAACCCACCAGCCACTCCTTGGAAACCCTATACAGGATGGCTATGAGTTGGAACCAACTCAATGGCACCTAACAACAACAATACTAAAGAAACACAATTGTTCCATATAAATGCATATATGATATTTTAATATTATCAGGACTCCCACATCAATTATTGATGTTACTATTTTTTGTTGCTTTCTTTTTTATATACACTAGAGTTTATTCCACCTTTAAAAAAAAACAAAAAACTCTTTGTAGGCTGGGTGAAAAATCAATAGAGTAACATGTTCTATACAATCATTTTCCCAAACCTGTTTTCAATGTCCCAAAGTTTAATGTACAGAACAGGGAAGCTGTTCTGAACTGAACTCAACACTTTGGAATCACTGATGTTTTTGAAACTGTAGATCCACGTACATTGAAGAATACAAGTCATCATATGTATTCAATACGTTCATTTTAGGGGTACAAAATCCATATTAGGTCAAGATCCCCAAACAACAAATACATATGACACTGCTTTCAGAGAGCTGAGCTTCAGTACTTCTTGTTTCACACATCTATATTAGCATAAGTGCACCCTTCCTCACCCATGGAGTATTTCTTTTTTATATAAAAACAGTGATAATCTGATATATCAAATTCACAAATCTAAATCACTATTTAAAAAGTTTTCCTTGCAAAGTAAAACAAGATAATCACCTCTAACCATACTCTATAAATAACTAGCAGGAGAGGTACTAAAAAACAATTGCATATACTTTTAGACATTATTTTAACTCAAACATTTTTTTATCTATCTATCTATCTATCTATCTATCTATCTATCTATCTATCTATCTATCTATCTATCTTTTCACCAAATTCAGAAGTGTAAAAGGTTCCCAGAATGTTATATGCCTGTCCATCTGTGAAACTGTGTGGACTATCAAAGGGAGAGCTGACATTTACAGAATAAAAAAAATTAGGGCTCATTAGGAATCATGTGACTGAGAATCTCTGATGGTTCACAAGAATTCACTTTAAAAAAATGTGATTGTGTAATTTTTACACACCAGGATAAGTACATTAACTAGCATTATAATGCTGTAAAGTTTAATTTACTCCTGATAACTGATACCTTAAATGACTTAAATTTTGTATACGGTTTAAATCCAATACACTAATGTTGATATCAATATAAACAAAATCTTAGAAAATAATTTTTATTGTCTTGCTATCAAGCATATGGGGCTTCTTTGATGTGTATTGAACACCAGTATGTAACATGACTACTTTTTTCAGAACTATGAAATGAACTACATTTTTTTAAAAGCTCAAGAACATTTTGGAAAGGAAACATCTTTTAGAAAGGAAAAACTACTAATCTGGCAAAAGAATATTGTAACTCTAATACAATTTTCTAATAGAATTTAATCTACTGTTTAGATTTTAATAAAGAACACTCTTGATAAAAGAGCAAAGGAACAAAATGAGAAAGAAATTGTATTGAGATATTTGTAGAGACTGTATTTGATTATCTGATTAAAATTTTAAACATCCTGACATTTGTCTCTTCCTGTAAAACCTAGTATTGCTGCTGGTGTTCAGCAACCTTATCCACCATACTGCCATTTGTGAGACTATTAGATGAAGCCTTTTAAATGAAAGAATTTTGATTTCTGCACTAAATTAATGTATTACAGAAGAACATCTGTAGTTAAGAAGTATCAGACAAAAACAGCTTCCCAAGAGAAGTGGTTTATACTACCTTTGCCAAGATGTAAACTCATGAAAAAAAAAAAAACTATCTACCAACAAAGAACACTCCTGATTAAGAATCTCATTTGTTGTCGTTAAGTGCTGCAGAGTCGGTTCCAACTCATAGTAAACTTGTATAGGGCTTCCAAGGAGTGGCTAGTGAGCTGGAACCACTGACGTTGTGGTTCACACTGACCTTGTAGGCAAGCGCATTAACCCGCAGCACCACAACAGGACTCCAAGGATCTCATTTAGAGAGTCCTAATTTCTTTAACAACAACTTGTCTGTCAGTTTGTCGTACTATGGTGGCTTTTGTACTACTGTGATGCTGGAAGTTATGTCACCGATATTTTAAATACTAGCAGCGTCACCCACAGTGGACAGGTTTCAACAGAGATTCCAAATGAATATAGACTTTAAGGAGAGACAGACTATTTCTGAGTGTTTAGCCTCTGAAAACATGAATGTTGCTGTTGTTGTTAAGTGGTATAGTACCAGATCTAATGCATTAGACACTAATGACCAAAGACCAGTTGTGTGATGACATCCATAACATCATACAGGAAGAAAGCAAAAAAGTCATTAAGACAAGAAGGAATGAAAAGAACAAAATGGATGTCAGAAAAGACTCTGAAACTTATTCTCCAGCACAGAAATTCTAAATCAGATGGAAACAATGAGGAGCTAAAAGAGCTGAAAAGAAAAATTCAAAGGGCAGCTCAAGAAGACAAAGTCAAGTGTTATAATCCAAAGGCTAAGAATATGCTCAGCATTTCTCAAGTTGAAAGAACTGAAGAATAAAATTCAAGCCTCGACTTGCAATAATGAAGGATTCTATGGGCAAAATATATTGAATGATGCAGAAACTATCAAAAGATGATGGATGGTATGTATAGAGTCACTGTACAAAAAAGAAACTGTTGATAGTCAACCATTTTAAGAGGCAGCATATGATCAAGAGTCAATGGTACTGAAGGAAGAAGTTCAAGCTGCACTAAGGCATTGACAAAAAAAACCATGGCTCCAGGAAATGATGGAATACAAATGGAAATCTTTTCAACAAAATGATGCAACAGTGGAGGCATTCACTCATCTATGCTGAGAAGTTTGGAATAAAGCTACCAAACCAACCAATTTGAAGAGATCCCATAATTTGTGGGTTTTCCAAAGAAAGGTGACCCAATGGAATGCAGAACTCATCGGACAATAACATTAATCCTCACATGCAATTAAAATTTTGTTAAAGGTATCTCAAAACTGGGTGCAACAGTACATTGACAGGGAACTGCCAAAGGTTCAAACTGGGTTCAGGAGAGGAAATGCAACAAGGTATACCACTACTGAAGTCAGATGGATCTTGGCTGAAAGCAGAGACTACAAGAGAGATGTTTACCTGTGCTCCAATGACTATACGAAAGGGTTTTTGATCATGTGGATCATGAAAAGGTATGGATAACATTGAGGAGAATGAATATTCTGGAACATTTATATGTGCTCATGAGGAATCTGTACACAGACCAAGAGGCAGTTGCTAGAGCAGAACAAAGGAACACTGAATTGTTTAAAATCAGGAAGGGTGTGCACCAAGGTTGTTTTCTTTCACCATGTTTATTCAATCTGTATGCTGAGCAAATAATCTGAAAAAAATTGGATTGTATGAAGAAGAACATGGTATCAGGATTGGAGGAAGACCTATTAACAACCTGAGATATGCAGATGATACCACCTTGTTTGCTGGAAGATAAGAGGATTTAAAATATTTACTGATGATGATCAAAGATTACCACCTTAAATTATGGATTGAACTTCAATGTAAAGAAAACAAAAATGCTTGCTACTGGAACAATACATAAACAAACAAACAAAAGACTGATGTTGTCAAAAACTTCATTTTCCTTGGATCCACAATCAGTCCTCAAGGAAGCAGTACTCAAGAAATAAAAAGACATATTGCATTAGGTAAATCTGCTGCAAAAGATCTCTTTAAAGTGTTCAAGAGCAAAGATGTCAGTTTGAGGACTATGAAACGTCTGACACAGCCTTGCTATTTTCAACTGCCTCATATACAAGTCAAGTGAAAGTTGGATAATGAATAAGGAAGACCACAGAAGAACTGATGCATTTGAATTGTGGTGATGGAGAAGAACATTAAAAGTACTACGGACCATAGGAAGAACAAACCAATCTGCGTTGGAATTAGTATAGTTGGAATATTCCTTAGCAGTCAGGATGGTGAAATTTCCTGTCATACTTTGAACATGGTATCTGGAGGAAACCATCCCTAGAGAAGGACATCATGCTTATAAAAGTGGAGAGTCAGTGAAAAAGAGGAACACCCCAAACAAGATGGATTGACACAGTGGCAACAGCAATGGGCTCAAACACAGTAAAAACTTTGAGGATGGCTCAGGACCAACCAGGCAGTGTTTCACTCTCTTGTGTACCAAGTCGCTATAAGTTGGAACTGACTTGATGGCACCTGACAATAACAATAGCAATTTCTCTGATCTGGTGTCTCTACAGCAAAGTAATTCTGTATTGTGCAATTATTTTCCTGAGCCTCTAGGCACTAGGCTGCTTACAGAGTAAAAAGATAAAACACAGCAACTATCAGCAAAACTTTAATACTTTCTTAAAACTGATTACATTTGATACCTATATACAAACCTACAATCTTTTAGAATCAAATTAGTCTCCTCACACCAAAGTATGTGTATTTGTGAGGCAAAATATACCTAATCTGTTGTTGTTAAGTGCTGTCGAGTCGATCCTGACCCATAGTGACCCTATGTAGGGTTTCTGAGGAGCAGCTGGTGAGCTTGAATCACCAACATTTCAGCTCAAACGGCTTTGCAGTCTGGCTCATTAACCCACAGCGCCACACCAGGACTCCATACCTAACCTAGTCGGAGGCTAATGTGGAATGCAGAGATTCTTTTCACAAAATATAGTATCACATACTGGCACTTTTCTTTCAGCCATATATTTGCTATTATTTATATGAGGATAAGTCACAAAGTATTGCTACAAAATCATGGGAACTTGCATTAAACAAAAATACCAAATATGAAACTATTGCTTCTCTATCTAACTTCCCATATCTAGATCTACATGGGGATGCGGAGGCTCTATATAATAAGTACTGAACTGCAAACCACAAGGTTGGTGGTCCAAGCTCAGCAATTACTCCATGGGAGAAAGATGAAGTTTTCTGCTCCAGCAAAAATATACAGCCTCGGAACCCTTTACAATACTTAACAACAGAAGGTCTATACGCTTCTGATGACAGTATTTCCTTTTCTCTGACCACTCCCTGAGGAGTACTCATGTGGCACTGTAGGATAAACACTGGACTACTAACCACAACGTTGGAAATTCAAACCCATCAGGGTTGCTGTGAGTTGGAAACGACTTGATGGCATTTAAGAGCAACAACAACCATGCCCCCGAAAAATTCTGTGCTCTCTGCAATTTATGTCATTATCACAACGGCAGTATTGGCATCCTTGAGGGACTCAAATATCAAATAGTGTTCTTTTCAAACAGTCTTTGAGTTTGGGGGACAAAAAGACATCTGAAAGTGCAATATAAGGGCTGTAGAGTGAATGCAGTAAGGTTTCCTAACAAAATCCTCATAGGACATCTCTGGCAACCCTCATTGCATTGTCATGATGAAAAAACATTCTTTAACACAAATTTCCTGGTCTCTTTCTGACCAATGCAGTTTTGAATTTTCTTAAAATGTTTTCCTAATAATTAAGTCCTGGAATCATCCTGTCCTTGGAGAATTGGATATGGATGACCCTTCTGCGAAGGCACCCTAAGGAGACTAAGAAATTAGTAGAGAAGTTGTCTGCAGCCATCCATTGATCACGAAGACATGTTTAGACACATTTTGTTTAAAATAAAACCATGCATGTATGTACTAGAACCTTATTTATTAGCAACATTTTCTACATACCCTCATACATTTCATCACTATTCAGAAGTAGTTTCATGCTTCCTATTTATGTTTAATACTCTATTTCAGCAAGAAAAGCCTTGGGGAAAGGCAGGCGTAACTGTCTATGGAAGTTCCTGACTCATAGTAACCTGTAGATGAAAAGTATGAGAGCAGGGACTGGAATGCAAGGCTAACTGCTTCCATAATTTATTCCCTCTTTTACCATGAGACCAGAAGAATTGGATGGTGTCCAGCTACCAATACAGAACATGTGATCAAACATTTGACACAAGAATCCTGATCAAAGGGGGGAAATGCAGAACAGAATTTAAATTTCTCATGGAATCCAAACTTTCTGAAGTCATAGGAGCCTGAATTCCCCAAACTGTTGCCCTGAGATATCTTTAAACTATAAACCAAAAATAACCCCTGAAGTCTTCTAAAAACCAAACAAAAAGTTAGCTTACCTCGTAAGGAAAGTCTGTCTTGGTCACTGCACTCTTTTATATAATTCATATATGATATCAAAATGAGAACAGCTACTAAAGAGATTAGAGATGAAGTTTAGGGGGAAGTGAGTTTATGTTAGTAGGGGAGTAATAATTTGGAAAAGGAGGCTAGAATGGCTGTAAAACTTGAAGAATGTAACCAGTATCAGAGTATTGTTGTTGTTAGATGGCATCGAGTCAGTTGTGACTCATTGTGATCCTATGCACAACAGACCAGAACACTGCCCAGTCCTGTGCCACCGTGATGCTGCTGCTGCCACACTGTCAGTTCATCTCATTGGGAGCCTTTCTTTTTTCACTCTGACTCTCTAACTGTAGACGGAGAAATTAATGAATGTTTTGCTGTGGACATTCTCAACAACAATAAAAATAAAAATAAGGCAAAATGAAAGTTTAAAATCCTGTGTTAGAAGGTAACAGATCTGATGGAAATTATCTTACTATCAAAATAAATATAGTGTAACCAAAAGGTCAACAGTCTGAAGCTTTTTAATTATTTTTATTTCTGAGCTAATAGTATCTAGTCACACAGTTGGAATTTTAGGATTTTACATGCTAATTCCTTCTTTTAAGTAAATAATCAAAAATTATTAATAAGAGAATTGCTCATGAATGCAAGCTGCAGGTCATCACAGGGGACTGGTCTGTCTTCAAGGGGTGATTTTCTGATGACTAGCTAGCTCCTTCAAGAGTTGCAGGGGCAGGGCCTAGACATTTCTTCTATGTGTACTGTTTTGTACCCAACTCACTGAACTGTTCCTCAGGGCCTTGCCCATTTCGTTTTGTTGTGGGGTTAGAATAAATGCTCAGCAGCCTCCTTCCTCATGGAAACCAAGTATATAATAAAAAGATAACAAGTCAAAGTCTTAAGTGTTCTTTCTTAGTTTCAACAATTCTGAAAACTGTTTCGTTCCTCTGATTAACTGTGTCATTTTCTTTTCAGGACGTGACTTTGTTCCCTTCACTTGTTTACACATGTAGCAACTCAACACTAAAGGAAAAGATAACTACCACTACTGGGATTATTATTACAGTGGTTACAGAAAATCAAAGTCTAGATCAGACAATTCACTTACTTGATAAGGTTCTGAAAAGCATAGCCATCTGTCCACTGTTCTGTAAAAGAGGCCCCATGTCGGACAGTGGTAAAGTGACCCAATCTCAAACGGTCCTGCATACTCTTATCTCTACATGCCATCTTCTCTTGTTTTGACTTAGGTAAAGAAGACAAAAATGGAAGGGGGAAGGGGAGAAAAAGAAATTCAACACCAATTACTATAGAGAAAGATGCTTTGGAGAAACTCAAAATTTTAAGAGTATTACGGAAAATACCATTGAAAAACAAGACAGTATCTAAGAACAGTCAGTAATGATTTCTTGGGTGACATACCTTCCCTATTCAAGCACAGCAATGTGGCAAGCAGGATAACTAAAGATCTGTAGGTTCTTTCTTTGTAAAGTTTCTCTCATTTGCCTACTTCTTGTAACTATCCTAATTAAAAATTAAACGCAGTCATTGAGTAGATATCAATTCATAGCGACTCTACGGAACAGAGTAGAACTGTCCCATAGGATTTCCAAGGCTGAAATGTTTATGGAAGCAGATTGCTACATCTGTCTTCTATGGAGTAACTGGTAGTTCAAACCGGCAACCTTTTGGTTTGCAGCTGAGGGCCACCTGGGTTTCTAGTTTGGACTAAGCATCTCACATTATACATCACATTAGTGCCTAATTCCTAAGATGCTTTCCTGTTTTCTATTTCTACTCTACTCAATATATTTTAAAGACTTGCTGCTAAATTTATCTTTTCAAAACACTATCTTACATGTTTTCAGTTAGTAGCTTAAACACTGGGTCATGAGGACTCCTTTTACTGCCTCTAGAAAAAGGAAATTATCTTACTGAAGAATTATTTGCTGTACTACACAATTTAGCATTAGTAAAACATAAACACTGACTTCAGAAGGTACACTAAAAGGATACCAGGAAGTATAACCTAAAACTAGAAATAAATAATAATTTCTCACTCTCATAAAAATGGGGAAAAGGGGGACTGGGGACTTCTCTTCTATAAAAGTTGAATTAGAGGATGATAAAAGACTCCACTGGCTTTCTGCTCCCGTAAAGATTTACAGCCTCGGAAACCCTGTACAGGGTCGCTATGGGTCGGAACCGACTTGACAGCACACAACAACAACAACACTTCTTTGAGTGTTCCCTGTCCTTTTAACAGCGCTCCACAGATTTCAGTAACTGCCAGTCTGTCTCAATTCTCCAACTTATAATTTCATTAGGCACTACTGCACTCTTAGCTCTTAAAAAAACAGAATAAAGAATAAAAAACATGTAAGAATAAAAATTTCGAGAATAATGAAGACTACTAAAGGCAAACTGGAGTCCTGGTGTGGCGCTATAGAGATAAAGCACTGGACCACAAGGTCGTTTTGAGCCTCAAGGTTGGCAGTTCAAACTCATCAGCCGCTCCTTGGAAACCCCATAGGGGGTCATTGTGAGTTGGAATTGACTGGAAAGCACACAACAACTAAGGCAAATTACAATTAATTATTATAATAAAGGGGACATCAGCCAATTAGAATAATCATATACAGGTATACATTAACCTTACTTTTTAAAAGCACAAAGCATTTATCACATTATTATATACATAAATCATATACAAATGTGACGCTGCAGGGTGGTGGTGGTGGTAGTGTGCCGTGGAGTCAGTTCTGACTCATAGCAACCCTGCACAGGGTTTCCTGGGCTGTAAATCTTTATAGGAGCAGAAAGCCTCATCTTTCTCCCACAGAACTGCCGGTAGTTTCGAACTGCTGACTGTGAGGTTAGCAGCCCAACTCATAACCACTATGCTACCAGAGGATAAGTACTGCTAACCCCAGGACTGACAGCTGGTATCAACCAGCTGCTCCTCACAAACCCTATGTTGTTGTTAAGTGCCGTCAAGTTGGTTCCAACTCACAGCGATCCTATGAGGGTTTCCAAGGAGCAGCAGGTTGTGGTTCAGTGCTTATCCTACAGCACCACACCAGGACTCCAAAAGAACTGTGGTGGTGGTGGTGATGTGTCCTGGTGTCAGAACAGACTTGAAGACACTTAACAATAGCAACACTATATACCTAAATTACCAACTCTGAAACAGAACTACTGCTTAACTTTTGTAATAGTAAAATGACACCTCAATTGATATGATTAATATAAGGATTTGAGAGAGCAACACCCCCAAATAAACTCATTTAGCAGACACTGTCTCTGTTCAATCAACATCACACTGAAAGCAATGTACAAGCAGAAAGTATGCCCCCAAGGTATCATTCTGGATGTCCAGTGTCCAAGAAAGAACTCTAACTGACAAATCATGATGAGTCTTTTCCTAACGCCCAATTTTTTAAATGATTTCATCTCATGTAAGGAGCTACAACAAAAATACACAGTAGGCATTTTAGAACAGAGTTCAGATCACTATTAATCACTAACCTTTTCTATAAGAAGTTTCTTGCTCATGGTTACACATCTATTTAATCGTTCCTTGTATTTCTCTAGCATCTTTTGCTGTTCATCAATCTGCCGTCTCAAATCACAGTTGGCCTTCAATGAAAAAAAATTTTTAACTTCAAGGAAAATAGATTAAGACAAAAGCAGTTTCTAAGGAATCAGAAAATTGAAATCAATATGAATATTAATTATATTTAAAAATGTTAATCATGAACTCTATTACTAGAAGTGGGAATGTTTTTCTACCTCTATTATTTTGATCCTTCTAATAACCAGTTAGACAGGTGGTACTATGGGTTAATGTGCCAGACTGCAAAGCAATCTGAACTGCAAGGTCGGCGGTTCAAGCTCACCAGTCACTCCTTGGAAACCCTATATAAGGTCACTATGGGTTGGAACTGACTTGACGGCACTTAACAACAACAAATAGGCAGTTATGGGTAAATGCAGTATATTATATATGCTTAAACTGTCATAAAAATAAAAGGAAGAAACCAACAATGAATAGACACAAAGTCTGATTAAGTACTTTTAGACAAGTGGGGAAGTTTCAAAAAGTTTGTGGAAAAGTTCCACTGTTTCTTAATTCTATTTTCTCATGAAATTTTTAAAGTCCTCTCATATATTTAAGAACAAACAACAACAAAAGAGCTCACATAATGTTCTGTGCTTGGATTTTTATTAATCGATTTTTATTTCTAAAAGTGAAACTTGGATTTACAAAAATGTCCCTTACCATAGAAACCTATACAAGACAAGACTAACAAACAAGTGAAGTACAAGGTCTCTGGGTCCCTAGTTCAGAATGCTAGTGTGGTGCCATGAATTTACTTGATATGGCTGCTTTTCTATTCAAAATCTTCTGAACTCCCACCAAATGATTAGGTGGAATCATGCAAAAATAGGGTAGGGTGTACAAGACTCTAATGCCGGAATTGGTTAGTTTTGCCATCCTGCAGTGTTTAAAAGGAGCAATCTCAGAAGCAGGAGCAGTTCATCCAGAACTATCCAAACAGGGTCATAAAGGCAGGGTGAGATCCCTGCCCAGAACAGGTCAGCATCAGAGGTAGAAAGAGACAGCAATATGGAGAGAGAGCAGCTATGTGGACTGAGTCAAGCTGAGTGCTTATGGGCAGGAGGCTGGTTTGCAGAATGTATCCCTTGGACACTTACAGACAGGCTAAAGGAGCTTTGTAACATTTTCCCAAGCATGGCAGAAGCCTAGGGACAACACGGCTGAGAGGATGAAGACAATACTAAGGCAAGTCTGGAGTATGACAGAGAAAATGTGTTCCTGATTGGAGAACTGCTGCATCCTAAGTTGTTTCTGATTCTGAATTGTACCCTGCTCACTTCCTTAATAAACCCCATAATCGCATTATATACGACTGCTGTGTGGGCTCTGCAACAGATTATGAAACTGACTGCAAAGCAGAGAATGCTGTGGGAGGGACAGCTAGTATCAGAAGAGGGCAAAGGCGGCTGTAGGGTAGAGGCATGTCTAACCTCTCTTCTAAGAATCAGCCTTGGGCTGATTTAAATTCTCCTTCGCCCTTGTAGAGCCAGAATGTAAATTCTTGTAGCTAGACTCTAAATATAGTTAATTTAGTTATGGTCAGAAACATATGTTGTTGTTAAGTGCCATCGAGTCGATTGCGACCCACAGCGACCCTGCATAGGGTTTCCGAAGCTGTAAATCTTTCCTGGAGCAGAAAGCCTCATCTTTTTCCTGTGCTGACCTTGCGAAAAGCAGCCCAATTTGTAACCACTACGCTACCAGAGCTCCTTTCAGAAACATGTAAGATGGGCTAAATACTTAGAAAATTTTACGCCTCCTACAATAACTGTGTGGAGTTCTGGTGTGGCGCTGTGGGTTAATGTGTCAGTCTGCAAAGCCATTTGAACTGCAAGGTCGGCAGTTCAAGTTCACCAGCTGCTCCTCGGAAACCCTATACAGAGTTGCTAGGGGTCAGAACGGAGTCTACAGCACTTCACAACAACAATAACTGTGTAGGAAAGACTCACTAGTCAACTTTGACCTGCAATGACTGAAATTACTCTAGTGCCAGGTAAATGCTACTTTATATTAACTTGCTCCATTGTAAAAAAAAAAGTTTTATATTTACCAATCAAATAATGTTAAGCATTCCTGGAAAAGTAAACAGCACAAATGGAAGATATTATAGAAAATTCAATTTTGAGACTTTTAAACTTCATCTGTTAAGTGACCCATGTGAAACAGTTTATCTCCATATATTTCTACCACAAGCATAATTTCTTCCTATTTGCTTTGGTTAGAATCTTATGGACCACACCATTGTTGTTCTTAAGTGCGTCGAGTCAGTTCTGACTCATAGCGACTCTGTTTAGGGTTTCCAAGGAGCAGCTGGTGGGTTTGAACCACTGACCTTGCAGATCCAAGAGACCTTTCAGTTCAGTGCATTATTCTGCATGTAACTACATGAAGGTAAATGTAATGATCTAATCCATACTAAAAAATCAGCAAGCTAAAGATGATGCAATATTTACGTGAAATCCAGTCTGTACTTGGGAGGAGAATATTGCCTTGAAAGCCATAAAATTTTAAGAACTCAAACATTTGTGGTTTCTATCACTAGTGTCTTTTAGGAGGTCATGTTTAAAATTCCATCTGGCTAGTAGTTTCTGATAGAGACTTTGTCAACTTTCCACTAAAATTAAACATGACTGGAAAACTCAATATTTCTGTGTCTGCCTAAAAGGAGACATATAGACTCACATATTTTTTGTTTACTGTGTACCCTCCAGATGAGAAACACAAGTTCTAATCTACTTGAAAACATGCAGAACAGCAGAAGTGGGATGTCCACATCTTCTTGTGTCTTTGTTCTTAACATGGGACACCCCACTGCTGCTGTTCTACATCCAAAGAAAGGCTATAGCCTCCAGAAAACAAGCAACAGTAGGTTAATAGTAACTAGAGTGAGTTATAGGGCTTCCTAGAAAATGAACGCAGATATTACAAACAAATCAAACTAACAAAAAACATGAAGCAGTACAAAGTCAAATGCACGTTTTTCACATTCTGTTGTTGTTAAATGCCATCGAGTCAGTTCCAACCCATAGTGACCCAGAACAGGGTTTCCAAAGTCATAAATCTTTTTTGTTGTTGTTGTTGTGTGCCATCGAGTCGGTTCCGACCCATAGCGACCCTGTATAGGGTTTCCGAGGGTGTAAATCTTTACGGGAGTAGAAAGCCTCATCTTTCTCCCGCGGAGCGGCTGGTAGTTTCGAACCGCTGACCTTAAGGTTCGCAGCCCGATTCGTAACCACTACGCTACCAGAGCTCCTTTATACTTTTTCAATTTTAAGTTGGGCAATGAAGAAGGAAAACGACCTCCAGATCCTTTCACAGTTTAGCAGAGCTACTTATGGGTGAAAATTAGCCAGAGACTGGAATTGCATCTGGAGCTTTTTTGTACCCACAGATGATCAAATTCTAAACCTTCAATGGCAATTTGACCAGCATACATGTGAAAATAAAAAATCAAAACAGGAATAGGAGCAACTCAAGCACATCTATCTAGTAAGATAAAGACTAGGTCTAAAGGAGCTCTGGTAGCGAAGTGGTTACCAATAGGGCTGCAAACCTTAAGGTCAGCAGTTCGAAACTACCAGCTGTTTCGCGGGAGAAATATGAGGCTTTCTGTTTCCATAAAGATGTACAGCCTCGGAAACCCTGTATAGGGTCGCTATGAGTTGGAACCAACTCCACGGCACATAACAACAAGTAAAAATAGGCCTAAGGAAAAGTATTTCTGAATAAGAAAGTGCTACAGGAACAATCAAATATGATAGATACAGCATTGGAAACAATTCAAAACCTACAGAAAGAGGTCCAAACAATTAATAATAGAATATAAAAAATGGACAATACACTGAAAGGGCAAAGGAGTAGAACTGAAGAGACAGAAGCCAGAACTAGTGAGCTAGAAGATAAATCTCTCAACACGATTAAGACAGAGGAGCAAACACAAAAAAGGATAAAAAAATCTGAAGAAGGCCTAAGACTCATGTTGGAAAACATGAAGAGGAATACTTAAGAATTATTGGCATTCCGGAACAGGAACAATCACACAAGTACACCCACAGAAGAGACAGTTGAAGAGCTTCTGGAAGAAAATTTTCCTAACATCCTGAAAAGTGAAAAGATAAGCATTCAAGAAGCTCAACGAACCCCAGGAAGGATAGACCCTAAAAGACAATCACCAAGACATATACAAACTCTCCAAAATCAAAGATAACGGAAGGATCTTGAAAGTAGCTAGGGAAAAGAGAATTGTAACATACAAAGGCAAGCAAATCAGATTAAGCTCGGATTTCTCAACAGAAACCATGTAGGCAAGAAGGCAATGGGGAGACATATATAAGACCCTGAAAGAAAAAAACTGCCAAACAAGAAAAGCTGTCAAGCAAACACAGTGGTGTAATCAAAACATTCCAGGATAAACAGAACCTAAGGGATTTTGCCAAAGCCAACCCTGCTATGAAAAACATCCTAAAGGAAGTTCTGTGGACTGAGAAATAAGAACACACAACAACTACAGAATGACTGACGTACGTGGCAGCATCACCCTGAACTCAACTGAGAAATGGAAGAGTCAAGAACAGAATATCATGACTAATTGAGACTGTCACAATTGTAAAGGTAGAAGTTTTGTAACAAAAAAAGGAGAGTGATCAATCTTACAGCCCAGAAACAGAGGTCTCTAGGACCATCACGAGAGAAGCACACAGGCAGAATGTGGGACCTTATCCAGAGAAGCAGCACCAGAGATGAAGGCAGAGATGGGGACATGGAGAGGGGGAGCGACTGAGGACTCTAGATTCATGGACTAAGAAGAGAAGGACTAAGAGCTGGTGGCCAGGTGGCAGACTTGCAGAATGTGGCCTTTGGAGATGTAAATTATTATATATGCCTGAGTAGTTTTTTTGTTTGTTTTTTAAAAAACTAAAGTGGATATAGAGAAATACTGTTAACTGATAGTACATGGAGGGGATTATAATCATTATAATGAAACAAGGTATATGATTTGTTGAATGTAAAACTGATGATATGCCCTGTAAACGTTCACTCAATTTACAATAAAAACCTTAAATTTAGAAAACAAAAAGAGGAGCTTGTCCTGTGGGGGCAGAGAGGAGCTGACAGAGCTATCCTACACTAAAGAAGCAAGACTTGCCTATTTGCTTCTTGATCCTGATCCTGAGTCACACCCTATTGCTTCATTAATAAGTCATTTAACTCTTAATTATGGCCTCTGATTTGATACATTAAACACTAAAGACTGAAGTCCAGAAGAGTTGTGGGATGACATCAAGAACATCATACAGGTAGAAAGCAAAAAGTCATTAAGAAGACAAGAAAGAAGGAAAAGGTCAAAATGGATATCAGAAGAGACACTGAAACTTGCTCTCCAGCATAGAGATGCTAAAGCAAATGGAAGAAACGAGGAGGTACAAGAGCTGAATAGAAACTTTCAAAGATCAGCTTGAGAAGATAAAGCCAAATATTACAACAAAATGTGCAAAGATATGGAATCAGAAAACCAAAAAGGAAGAACACACTCAGCATTTCTTAAGCTGGGCGAACTAAGAAAAACTTTAGGCCTCGACTTTTGTTATTGAAAGATTCTCTGAGGAAATTATTGACTGATGCAGAAAGCGTCAAAAGAAGATGGAAGAAATACACAGAGTCATTGTACCAAAAGGAAATGGTTCATGTTCAACTGTTTTAAGAGGTAGCATATGATCAAGTGCCAATGATACTGAAGAAAGAAGTCCAAGGGGCATTGAAGGAACTGTCAAAGAACAAGGCACCAGGAATTGATGGAATAAAAATTGAAATCTTTCAAGAAAGTGCGGCGGCACAGGAGGTACTCACTCATCTATGTTAAGAAATTTGGAAGACAACTATTTGGCCGACTGATTGGAAGGGATCCATATTTGTCCCCATTCCTAAGAGAGGTGACCCAAGGGAATGTGGAAATCATCAGACAATATCTTTGATATCCCATGCGAGTGAAGTTTTACTAAAGGTAATACAGAAACGGCTACAAGCATACATTGACAGAGAACTTCCAGAGGTTCAAGCCAGATTCAGAAGAGGCCGTGGAACAAGGGATAGCATTGCTGATGTACAGTCTTTCGATTGTATGGATCATGACAAGCTATGGACAACATTGCAAAGTATGAGTATTCCTGAACACTTGATTGTGCTCATGAGGAATCTGTACCTGGACCATGAGGCAGTTGTTCGAACAGGACATGGTAACACTGAATGGTTTAAAATTAAGAAAGGTGTGCGACAAGGTTGTATTCTTTCACCATACTTATTCAACCTGTATGTTGAGCAGATAATCTGAGAAGTTGGGCTCTATGAAGAAAAACGTGGCATCAAGGTTGGAGGAAGACTCATTAACACTATGCAAAATGCAGATGATACAACCTTGCTTGCTGAAAGTGAAGAAGACTTAAAATTATTTACTGATGAAGATCAAAGAACATAGCCTTAGGTATGGATTGTATCTCAATGTCAAGAAAACAAAAATCCTCACCACTGGACCAAAAAACAACATTCTTATCAATGGAGAAAAGACTGAAGTTGTCAAGGACTTCATTCTTCTTGGATCAACTATCAACACTCATGGAAGTAGCAGTTAAGAGATCAAACAACGTATTGCATTAGGCAAATCTGCTGCACAAGACCTTTTTGAAGTGTTGAAGAGCAAAGATGTCAGCTTGAAGACTAAGGCGTGTCATGGTATTTTCAATCACCTCATATGAATGTGAAAGCTGGACGGTGAATAAGCAAGACCATAGAAGAATTGATGCTTTTGAGTTATGGTGTTGAAGGAGAATATTGAAAGTGGCATGGACAGCCAAAAGAACTAATAGATCTGTGTTGGAAGAAATGCAGCCAGAGGGCTTCTTAGAGGTCAGGATGGCCACACTTCATCTCTCATACTTCAGACATATTGTTAGGAAGTTCCAGTCACTGGAGAAGGATATCATGTTTGGTAAGGTGAAGGGTCAGATAAAAACAGGAAGACCCCCAGCAAGATAGATTGGCAAAGTGACAGCATCAATGGGCTCAAGTGTGGCAACAATTATGAGGTTAGCCCAGGATTGGGCAGTGTTTTGTTCTGCTCTGCATAAGGTCGCTATGAGTCGGTACCGACTCAATGGCACCTAACAACAACATGGCCTCTGAGTTCTGCATAGCCATTGCAATGAATTATTCAACCTAGCAGAGAAGGGGAGAGTGCTGTAGGAAGGATAGCTAGGGTCAGAACTGGTTTAAAAGAAAAAAAAAAAAACAGAAAAAGGACTGCAAGGTGGAGGTATGGCTGATCTATACCTCAGTGATCAGCCTAGGCTGATTGTGACTTGCTTTATCCCTGCTAAAGTTAGATAGGTTATGATGCTATTACCATGAAAACCAACTGTTTCCAATTGACTGTTGAGTCTACTCTGACTCATAGAAACCCTATAATAAAGAGTATAAATGTCCCATAGGGTTTCCAGGACCATAATGTCCAGGAAAGCAGACCACCACATCTTTCTACATTAGAGTAGCTGGTGGTTTCAAACAGCTGGCCTTTCGGTTGGCAGTTAAGTGCACCACTATGATTCCAAATCTATCACTACTACTATTACCACATTACAGAGTAGTATATATCAGGAAAACAATCAATATCTTTTTCATTTTTTTAAATAACAGACTATCTTAAAACTGAATATTCAAGATATATTTAAAACATCATGGTATACTCTTTAGAAATTTCTTTTTAATTCCAGCCTAGGTACTATTTTTATAGTTTCTTTCATACGTGTAAAAACCATTAGCTAAATACATCATTAGAGATATGAGACATAAAACCAGGTCTGAAAAGTTCTTGTGAAATGATCTCAAAAATTCAAGAACATCAAAAGAATTGCCCTGGAATGAGTAAATAATATTTTATAATTATTCCCACAATTAATATAAAGTTTTATAATATAAAGTTCCACCTATCTACAAAAGGGCTTCAAAAAGTTCATGGGGAAAAAAAACCCGATAAAAATAACGGCAATTTTCCACGAATTTCTGAAGACCCCCTATGTTTCTCTAATACTAATTTAAATGTTAGCATCCTACAGTTTAAGACTTCTCCAGTTTGAAGACAATGCTTAGAATATAGGTATGACCCTGGTTTCTACTCGGATTGCTTCAGATTAATGAAAAATATGCAACCATCAATTATTTAATTTTGCGATTTGGCTCTAATAATTATTTTTATGCTACTGACATGATTCAAATTAACATATAACATCAATTAGTGCCTGTTATAAAATCTCTTACCACATTTAAATACTTACTCGTAACAAATCATCTATTCTTCCTTCTTTCTTCTCTAAATCAGAATTCTTACTGTTCTCTAGTGCAGATATTTTTTCTATTGTGAGGTCAGACTATAGAGAGAAAGGCAAAACAAATTTAGGATTCATCTAAATTATTAATGTTTTTCTCATACATTTATGGAAAACAACACTTGTCATGAATCATGGCTCAAAACATTCAATCTGTTTTTCACCTATTATTTAAGCATTACCTGGATTCCTTATAGCCTGCTACATGAGCCCCTCCAAAAACATATTAACTGTGGAATCAAATACATGAGTTCTCCAACTACCATAAACTGAATAACACAAAATATGCTATTCTAGAAATGAATTTCACTTGGAATTGAAAAGAGAAATGACCCAAGCAAGTCTCTAAAGAACAAATATGCCATCTAGTGGTGAAGAATCATTAGAAGGGGAGAGATGGTATCTGAATGCTCAAGTCTGTTCAATTGTCTAAAGAGCTAGGACTTTTAAAGGAGCTCTGGTAGTGTAGTGGTTACAAACCTCTGGTAGTGTAAGGGCTGCGAACCTTACGGTCATCAGTTTGAAACTACCAGCTGTTCCATGGGAGAAAGATGAGGCTTTCTGCTCCCGTAAAGATTTACAGCCTTGGAAACCCTGCACAGGGTCGCTATGGGTCGGAACTGACTCGACGGCACTTAATAACAACAACAAAAGGAGCCCCAGCAGTGTAGTGGATTATGAGCTGGGCTGCTAACCACAAAGTTAGTAGTTCAAATCTACCAGTCGCTTCATGGAAGAAGATGAGGCTTTCTGCTCCTGTAAATACTTACAGCCTTGGAAACCTATACAGGGTTGCTATGAGTTGAAACTGACTCCACAGCATTTAACCACAAAAACAATAAAGGGACTTTTGGATTCCTAGTGTGGTGCTTTAAGATTGGTACTAGACCACAAACAGTAAAGTTGGCAGTTCAAACTGACCAGTTACTCCTCGAAAACTCTATACTAGGGTCACTATGAGTCAGAATCGACCTAACAACAAAAAGAATCTTATAGCTGTTGCCACTAAGAAATTATTCTAGACAGCCAAGCAAGTTGTAGACGAGGTAATACAGAAAGTATCTCTTACAAAGGAAGCTGTAAGAAAAGCCAGTATACTATTTGCGTAGCTCAAGACAAAGGACATATGCCTGTCCAAAAAACAGATCCACATCCTTTACAGACATAATCTTTGAATGTTCACACCATGACTTAAGTTAGAAAGAGTTTGTGAAAATTGTTTAATAAGGAAATTATGTTGCTATTAGGTTGCTCTTAGAGAAGTTGAGTTAGGTCTTAAGAGTCCTGATAGAGTACTATAGGATCAGCACTGGACTGCTAATCACAGGATTGGTGGTCCAAACTACTGCTACTCCTTGGAAACCCTATTACAAGGTTGCTGAGTCAGAACTGACTCGCCATACTTATACCACCAGCTAGGTCTTGCCAATAAGCATGTATAAGAATTATAAAGAAATTAGCATTTACTGAAAGACACTTGAAATGTTATACTAGTAAGTATTCTGTCTATATTATTAGGATAATTAGACTCCACCACATTTAACAGGTGATTTGTACTCTAAAAACTGGGGCCTGAAAGATACTATGTTAATTACAGAGCCAGAAAGATCTCAAAAGTGTATGCTCTTTCCTCAAGCATTTCTGCTATAACATGAGGAGGCTTCAGAAAGTTCACAAAAAAATGGAATGAAAAGATTATGGATGGCATTTCCTCACAAACTTTTTGAAGCCCCCTTATACACCAGAAGTACTCATCATGCAAGTTTTGAATACAATCTACACATATAATAAAGTCAGAAATAAGGCAGACAGCAATCATAGACACTATGACATTGATTACTGAGCAGAGCTCCTCCTCCAAATCTCTCCTCCTCCACTGACCTGGGTTTGTCTGTGCTGGATGGAAATCTGTTTTTGGGAGCTGCACGAATGCTCGGTGTTGCCAGATCCTGTAGAAGAGGGACTATTTTGCTGAGCCTGTAATAGAGATGTAAAAACAATCATAAGAATGTTTTGTATCTTTCTCCACAAACATTTGCATGTATGTAAATTATTAACTCTACATAAAATAAACCTTTTCATATGAAAAAAGTCAGGGCTGTGTGGTCAAAAAGAAAGCAGAACAATTCAAATATGAGACACAGAGGCTAAGACATGGTGGCATGAACCATGTTCCTGTAACCTGTAAATAGGTTTACAGTATTACATTTAAAATAAATCAATTAAAGGAAACTAAGTTATTCCTATAATAACATGTCTTGACTTGCGTTTAGATGTGCTTTTGTCATAACCTGCTGGTGAAGCATCCAGTGCACAGGAGATGCACATGACTGGTCAAAAAAGGTAACAGACACTGTTCACTACAGTCTCCTGAATATGCCAACAGTACCCAGGAAGACACAATGGTCCACAGTTCAGGCTGACTTCCCAATACTGTTACTTGGTGGCTGTGATTGTTATAGGGTGTTCTAAGACATTTTTATAGTCTATCAAGTGTAGGATAGTATATTTCAACTATTCAGGAATACACACCACAATTATTCTCCCGATTTTAATTTTACCCATTGTCACAGAGTCAGTTCTGACTCACAGCATCCCTGTACAGAGTTTCCAAGGCTGTAAATCTGTTTTTGTTGTTAGTTGTTAGGTGCCACTGAGTTGGTACTGACTCATAGCGACACTATGAACAACAGAATGAAACACTGTTCAGATCTGGACCAACCTCACAATCGTTGCTATGCTTGCCCCCAATGCTGCTGCCATTGTGCCAATCTATCTCGTTGGGGGTCTTCCCCTTTTGCTCTGACCCTCCACCCTACCAAACATGATATCCTTCTCCAGGGACTGGTCCCTCCTGACAATATGTCCAAAGCATGAGAGACGAAGCCTGGCCATCCTGGCTTCCAAGGAGCACTCTGGCTGCACTTCTCCCAACACAGATCTATTTGTTCTTTTGGCAGTCCACGGTACTTTCAATATTCTCCTCAAACACCGTAACTCAAATACATCAATTCTTCTATGGTCTTCCTTATATAAATCTTCACAGAAGCAGACACTCTTAATCTTTCCCCCAGAGTGGCTGATGGGTTTGAATTGAAAATGTTGTGGTTAGCATGCCACTAGGTCTCCTCAGAGCCTTTTAAAAATAAGTATTTTTTTTTTAAAATACACCTAACACTGTATCACCATCAAAGAAATAGCATGGGAGTCCTGGTGTGGCCCTGCAGGTTAATGCACTAAACCACAAAGCCGGTACTTCCAACTCACCAGCTGCTCCTTAGAAACCCCATACTGGGTTGCAATGATTAGGAACCGACTCAACAGCACTTATGAACTACAAATGATACAATAGAAATATAACACTATCGCACCAGGGAGTGAAACATCATCACATATTTAAATTTTCTCATACTTTCCACATTATTCCTTTAAGTCATTTATTTACCATCAATTGAGTAACTGGACTTCTGGTATGGCGCCATATGAACAGCACAGGGATTGTAAGCCATAAGAGGTTGACAGTTCAAACCCACCAGCTGTTCCTCAGAAATCCTTTACAGGGTCACTATGAATCATAATCGCCTCAACAGCACTTAACAACAGCACATGGGTGAGTACCACAGGCTTAATATCTTACTAACATGAAATCCTTACAACCACACTTTAAGGTGGTAGAGGCAGCTGTAATTGTGGTTATTATTCCCATTTTCCAAGTAAAGAAAATGAAACTCAGAGACATTAAACACCTTATTTAGTGTCAAAGTATAACACGATAGGTGTCACAAGAATTACAAGAATCGACGGTTGTTTGCTCCAGTGACAGCTCTCATTGACTGTAGATGTCCTCTTGTCAACCTAGAAGGTCTATTGCTAACAGGCCCTGAATAAGGGTAAGCATTACAGATATTTTCCTTGACAATCATAGAGCTTTGTAAGGTAGGCGTTATTATTATCTTCATTTTACTTATTTATTCAACAACTACTTATTGAACATCTGCTATTGCTCAGCATTCTATTAGGGGCTGGAAACACAACAGCCAAGAAAACACAGCAGGCCCAATCCCTGCTTCAGGAACCCTGGTACCACAGTGGAGTAAGCATTTGGCTGCTAACTTAAAGGTTGGTGTTTTGAACTCACCAGCGACTCTAATGGAAAAAGATGTACTGTCTGCTTCTGTAAAGATTGACATCCTCAGATTAATCATTACAGAGCAGTTCTTCTCTGTCCTATAGGAACTCTGGGTTGGAACTGACTCAATGTTGTGGGTTGTCAGTGGGTCAGACTAATCCTTACTCATGTTAATGTAAGTTATGGTCCAAGGAAAGATTTCAATAAATATTTTTTAGGAAAAAAAATGAATAATCACATAATAAATGCCAAGGGTCCTGGTGTGGTGCTGTAGGATAAAGCACTACACTACCAGGTCAGTTTGATGGTTCAAACCCACTAGTCACTCCTCAGTAACCCTATACAGGGTGGCTGTTAGTTCAAATAGACTCGGCAGCACTTAACAGTAACAATAAATGAAAAATTATTATTAAGTGAAGTGCTGTAAGGGCATATTGTTGTTGTTGTTAAGTGCCATCGAGTATATTCCGACCCATAGTGATCCTGTATAGGGTTTCCAAAGAGCAGCTGGTTAGCTTGAAGCGCCAACCTTACAGTTCAAACGGCTTTGCAGGCTGGTGCATTAACCCACGGTGCCACACCAGGACATGCAGCAGGGTAAATAACTTAACCTGGGAAAGTAAGGCCAAAGTTACAATCTGAAAACAAACACCTAGCAGCCCTGGAGGAGGAGCTGACCAGGTCAGTCTAGGTAGAGGCCCTTTAAGCGTCAGGAAAGGAGAAGATAAAGGTAGGATTCAAATAAATGCGGGGGGAAAAAGGCACTAATCTCAAAGAGGGGGGGCTCTGGTGGTGTAGTGGTTAAAGCACTTGACTGCCAACCAAGGCCTGTGAACAGGTTAACAATTTGATCCCACTAGTTGCTCCATGGGAGAAACTGTGGCTATTGTCTTTCTCCGTTACAATTTACAGGCTTGGAAACCCTATGAGGCAGTTTCTACTCTGTCCTACAGGGTCACCAGGAGTCAGAATTGATTCTACAGTTAAGCAATTAGCTGATACAGAAATGGTGGTCAGTTCAACCCCACACAATGGCTCCCAAGTAGAAAGACTTGACAATCTTCCCCTATAAAGATCACAACCTACAAAACCCTATAGGGCAGCTCTATCACATGGGGTCACTATGAGTCAAAATCACCTTGATGATATCTAACAATCTCAAAGAGCATAAAAGTTTGCAGTCAGTAAATGGCAGTGTTGCAATTAAGAAGGCAGTCCAAATAACTGATACTATTCTCTAATCTTTCTAAAATGCAGCAAATACAACCTTTGCTTAAAGATTTAGGGTCATCATGTTAAGTGTTGTCACATCAGTTCCAATTCATAGTGACCCCGTATAGGGTTTCTGAGGTGGGTTTGAACCTTATGGTTCAAATAGACTGTGCGATCTAGTGCTTATCTTATAGTGTCATACCAGTACTTGAGTCATCATAATCAACCTCAAATATTATAGTGCACCACGATATGCATATAATTTATTTCAGCTATCATTAGATTGCTTTCACAAATCCTTTGTTTCTAAGAAAATGATTGTTTGAACTGTAAATGATAAGAATCAGTAAGAATCAAATGACTACTTAAAAGTTCTACAAACATCTAGATTTTGTTTTATGGGTTTTCTTAAAATGCTTCTGTTTATATGGTCTTGCTTCTGAAACTAAGTTTTCTTCAAGAAAACTGAGGGGTTAGATGTATGACTAAGAGACATGTTTTCAAATTAAAACTTGTTGTAAAGTACCTGCAAATAATCCAAGCAAAAATTTTTATTGTAAGGAAGTAGGAACAAATCCTATGAAAATGAAAACAATACCTTCAAAATGTAAAGGTACCACACAAAATACTAAGGACTAATTGTGACAAGTGAGTCCTTGGAAGAAAAAAGTTCTTATTCTGGTCACTGATTCAATAATAATTCTAAACTTCTGTTCCTGGTCCTGTGTTAAACACTAGTCATGTCAAACTGGAAAGCAAAGAGCTGACAGTCTCCCAACAAGTCAATGATTACAGAACAATGACTCAGGGACAAAAGAACAGAAACCATGAAACCACCTTACAATACAAGCCAGCCACAGAACTTTATATAAAGTCCAATTCCTACCTAGCAAAACATTCTATGTAGATTTCTATATTCTTTATTCCTATTAAGAAAATCACATTGGCTTCTACCCCATGACAGTAGGTGGAATCTCCCAGCATCCCACTGAAATGAAGAGTAGAGTTACTTTTAAAATTAAATAACAATAAGAGCACTAAAAATAAGAGTGCCATCAAAGAATCAGAAATTTAACATTTTTGAAACTTTAAGAAATATTCAAAAGCAGTTGATATACTGATGAGAAATTAAAATAAAGAAATTCACAGCTCAAAATCTCAGTAGTAGAGATATTGGCGAGCCATAACATAAGTAGATATATGCACACCAATGTTCAGAGCAGCACTATTTATAATAGTAAAAAGATGGAGACAGCCTAAGTGCCCATCAACTGAACAATGGATGAACAAACTGTGGTACATACACACAATGGAATATTATGCTACCTTGAAGAAAAACAAGGAAGCTGCAAGCCACCGCATAACATGGACGAACCTTGAGGATATTATGTTGAGTGAAATTAGTCAGTCACAAAAGGAGAAATACTGCATAGGACCACTACTGTAAAAGGCTAAGAAAAAGAACCCA